AAAAACGAACTCAGAAAATGAAATAATTTCTTCTTACTGTGTCTGAAAAATGCTGGTCATTTCTACTTGCTCCCAAAATCGACAATTCTATGCTAATTATATGATACTAATCATCAGAAGAATTCGTTCATTAACTTTTCAACACTGACATGACAATTTTAGAAATGATAATTTCCGTATTAAATTCGCCGTGTCTGATCAATGCTTGCCGCTTCTACTTGCCTCAGACGTTCGCTGCGATAACGATCTCTTATTCTTTAATCGTTATGGCGCAATTGCGAGCAATTAATCTCAATTTCAGTTTACAATTTGCGCACCACGACGCAAATATAAATATATGTTCGACACAAGTATAAATTAATACACGTTTAATTAGTACAAGGGGAATTCTTATTAAGAAGATTGATCTCACGTCTCGTCCCACGTTTCCCTTGTTCATGATCGATTGCGACGCCTCCATAGAATCTCGCTTTAATCTACCATGATTTACACGTGTTTCGTTAGAAGCACCGTCGAGATGGAGGTCCATCAGTTTCCGTGTGACACGTTCGACCAAGATAAAGTGGAAATGAATTTTTCAATTACACACATTTGTTGCTTCGGAAAGTTCCCGTGAAACTAAACGAGAGAGAACCTTATTCTGCACTTCGATCCAAGTGGAATTGCATTATGTATGGTCGGACGTATTCCGACAACTAAACGATTATTTATACGTTTCCGAAACATCTGGAACGTTTATTAATCCCGAAACCGTTCCTTCCACTCCGACAGAGTGCTCCAGAACTTTAAACTTATTTTACTCGAAATAAATATAGAATCTGCATTAGCCAAGAAATGGCTGCTTCGTTTCTTCATGGTATTTTCTGAAATGATCTGAACCAAATCGAAGTTCAATCGATTCGCCGGAATGTATATTTTTATTTCGAACGCCACGTTCCATTTTGAGTTACTAGTTTATTCTTTCAATTCTTATTTTGTGATACACTGTAAGTAAAAGTCGTCCATATTTGATCAGACTTTTATTAAGATCCTTTTATTTAGCTCCCTTATCTTTTTCTATAATAATTGTATCTAATAAAATAGTTAGCTTTGGAAAACTGTGTGTAATAGAAAAATTGTTTAGCCTCTTCTCAATTATTTGAATTGGTAAAATCGTTTACCTGTTCGAAGCACTAATTCGTGAAAACAACGAATGCGATGCTACAAAACTAAATTCATTCTCGGTCTAAATATTTCATTAGTTAGAAATAAAATGCAATCGCACCGAATTCATTCAAAGCGAATAATCTGATTCTGTGTTAACGAAGAGTTTTCTTACCGTCGATTCTCGATCAACACGGATCGTTCTATTTCCGAGAAAAATAAGGGAACCGTGGATCGTGATTTAACCGGTCGACAAAAGTGTCGCCCGTGGAGCGGCAGAAAAAAGGAAAGAGGTGTACAGGTTTGTCGGGGAAAGCATAAGTTTCGAGCGGTCTGACTGCTCGTCCAGGCGAAATTGTTATTTCGCATGCGGCGCGAACCGCATTCCGAAGCGCGCGCCCCGTGAAATGCTTCTTCGTGGAAATGTCCGGCCATCTTTTATGCTTTCTTCCTTTTTCCGGGTCCCGGCGAACCCTCCCCCGTTCGCCACTATTTACCCCGTTGTGCAAGGGCTTTCTGCAGTCACCGCCGAGAATGCCGGCGCGGCGCGGCGTCGCGTCGGTGCGCGCGAAGAAAAAATACGGCAAAACGCATTCCATTCCACGTTCGAATCGAGGCTGAGAGACTGCGGAGAATGCTCGTGCAGCCGGAAGAGGGTTGTGATCGATACGATTTCTATGTTATAACCCCGGACGAGTTGCTCTCGCAACTTCGCCGCGGAAGTCGACCGTTAATGCTCGCCCTCGCAGGGCCGCGCAATGGCGCCTCGTTGTTTCCCCACAATTCCGAAAATGTTGTTTCATTAATGCTTCCATCGAGCGAAGTTTTTATTCCTTCGTATGCTCGTATTTTCTTTTTTTTATCGGATATATGAGGGATTCGTTAATATAAATTATAAGGGTAATATAATATTGTAATATATTGTAATATAATATGCTATATTACAATATATTACAATATAATATTATAATATAGCATATTATATTACAATATAATACGCAGTAATATAATATTATAATATATTATATTGTAATATTATATTATTACATATTATAATATGCTATAGTATTATATTACAATATATTACAATATTATATTATCCTTATAATTTATATTAATTAATCCCTAATGTAATATGTTATAATATATTATTATTGTATTATTATGTATTATATAAAGTATGACGATATATAAGGAAATTATAAGGGTTTATACGGTGCGCTTTGGATCATTTATAAATTTATTCGTCAATTTTATTGACGTCATATATTTCAAGACGTTTCTTCTAGACACGATGGTTTTTCTATACACCTGAACGAAAGTTCTGAAAATCTGCTGCAACGCGCCGAATCGCGTAATAATTTTGCTTTTGAAAGGCTATCAATTGCAGTCTGTTGTTCCGTTCGGCGAACGTGCCTTTAAACGAATCGAACGGATTTAATATTCGAAATATCCATTTATTTTACATAAAATTGTGTAGGAAATTGAGAGAAAAAAAGTATCGCATTCGCAACGCGGTCGAAAATTTTGATGTTACGTTCTTGGACATTTTATTTGTGCCGAATCGGATACCACATACATGCACAGTTTCTTCTTCTCTAGACAAATTCTATAGTCCCCAAAAATATGCGAGATATTTTATTAGAAAAAAATGTATTTTCCGGCGCGATTATCTCTACGATTAATTACGATCTATTTACCGGTCTCCCGCGAACCCTATAATTAATGAATAATTAACGCGAGAAATAGAGCATAGAGGAAATAATGCTCGAACAATGGACGAAGCATGGTTCACCGGGCGAGAGCGTTTTCCCTCGAACAAAACTGGAATTTAGTGCTCCCGTTGAAGGGGGAAAAAATGACTCATAAAAATGGTTAAGTCCACATAGGATCCTCCGAGCCACTCTAATAAAGCTGACGTCGAGGATCGAGTCGATGGACCACCCAGAATTATATCGGAACTATCGACGATAAATCACCAGTTTTTATTCTAGCTAGCTGCCGCCGCCGCCGCCACCGTCGTCGTCGTCGTCGTCGTAGTCGTCCGTGACGACCACGACGACGACGACGACGACTAGGAAGAGGATGAAAGGGATGAAGATGCTAGCGTTGAAACTGCAGCGACCACAGAATTCTTGCATGCACAGGAATCGAAACTGCTGACCGAGCTCCGTGACTGAATGCGCGGCCACACTCTGAATGCACGCACACGTGTGCACGCCGCCGAAACCACGAATCCGAGGTCGCGCGCGCGTATTCTCGCGAACGAACGCATCGTCCTCGCTCGTCTTAGGAACGGAGCGTGTCACGTGACTTCCTGATCGAGACACCTGCAGTCAAGTTCTGTGGTCGGCGATTCGATGGGGAACGCGATGCTCCGAAAGTTGTCGAACGTCCAAATCGATTAATTGTTGCCGGCGCACCGTGCGCGGTCTATCTTTTATCCTCAGTTCGCTTGCAGCTACGATGATTCTTTTTTTCTGAACGGTACACGCGAAGAAGAACTCGAAAAGTAAATCAACCGTGTGGAGGTTAAATTGAAATGGGTCTGTTTCTTCGGGATCTATGTACTCAATTTTGGATGCATCTTTCAAAGATCCTGAGACACGTGCTTTGAGCAGTGACAGAAATTTTTGCATAATAAAATCGTTCCATTAAAGCCATCTCATGTCGAGAGCGTAACATAGAGATATTGATAATAGACGAATCTGATTTCTCTCGTCGTAACATATTCTCTAATAGAGTTTCGATTTATATTCGATAGAAGAGATAGAGACACGTCTAATTCAATGATGATTATTCGTTTAAATTTATCATCGAGATTGCAGTTTATTCATCTAGTTTTCCAACCAACTTCGTTTCGATCACTATATCTTCCGCGTTAATTAGGCCAGCGCAGTCTCCTGGCAACGAACGGATTCGCGAGTAGCAAAGGTCTGCCACTGATCAGACTCGCGGCAATTGAAATTCTCGATGCGAAACGGGCTCTCTCGATCCGCGACAGATCGGCGTCGACAAAAATCGAGAAAAATCGCTTCCGTCTCGAGACACGTCTCGACGAACGGAACTATTTTGACGGGACTCGCTTAGGTTTCTCACTTGGAATCGCTTAGCGGACATTTTCGTGCTCCGCGAGCCTTCTTCCAGTGGCGGAGAAGACGCTCGTAGAACATGGCAATCTTGGCCGCGCCGGTGCACCGCAACAGAGAAAAAATCGCGAAACAATTCGGAATCAATGAAACCAGAGACAACAGAGAAATATTTCACAGCAGTCAAAAGAACCATTGACGGTCGCGCGTCGACGCGGGACGCGAAGGAAAATCTGCTGCTGGACCGATGCCCGGACGCGATCCGATTTTTTTTTTTGTTGCCGTTCGAACGCGTCGACGGCTCGACAACTTTACGAGCTCGCGTGGCTCATTCGATTGTTACACTCGTATTGATCTACCTATGTATCTTGTTGTTCCAGCAACGCGGCGCAACGAGACGGTCTCGTCGCTGCGAATATTTCCGCGGATCCATAAACACCGAGGGCGGTTAGCGCGGGCCGCGGGACATATATTTTCGATAGGAGAACAGTGGGGGGAGGGAGGGTTGGTGCCGGCGTTGTAAAACGCCGACGCGGAAAATATTTTCGCGGGATAATTCTATTATTTTTATGGGGTGCTCGCGTGGCGCGGCGCCGCGCCGATCGATCCGCTCCGCTCTGCTCCGCTCCTCGGTGTTTCCGCCGTTCCCGCGTAAACGCTTCACCCTAGTCCTCGCCGTCGCACCACGACCGAACCCCAAACAGTCCCGCCTAACGTATCGGCTTAACGTCTCTAATCCCAGAAATGATTGTACTAACTAATGAACAGGTACGCAACCTCGGAGAGGGAGGCAGCACCTGTCTGGATTCGCCGGCACGCAAGGCCGACTTGCATAAACCGGCCGGACTCTACCCCTGCCATCGACAGGGCGGAAATCAGGTACAAATAGACAGGAAGCTGGCTCTGTCTCGCCCTCTCAGCTGTGCTCGATACGTTCCGCTTGTGTGTACCGGCCGACCAACAAACCGGTCGAATACCCTAATTACCTTTTTAGCGAAGCATCCGAGCTGCCAAGTTCGGAACGCGACGCCTCTGTTCCGATGCTATCTAGAGCCAGATTTCGCCGAGATTGCCGTGTATAAATCGATTATCATCGATCGATTCTTATCGAAATTAATGCTGGACGAATTCAGAGTCTCGAGCAGAAATTCGAGATAATTGCGAGACTATGGAGCCACTTTGTGGCGAGACATGAATTTCTGATCGATTTTGCATAAAAGTCCATGGCTTAGTAATTCATAGTGACTCGTGTAAATTAAATCGTGATAATAGAGTGAGCATTTTGTTGCATGAAGTGCGAGCTTTCGAATAATCGAATTTCGTAATGTTAATTGAACGTTATTTGGCGCGTCGATTTCTTGCCGTTTCTATTTTAGAAACTGATTTTCACAATGATTGACTTCGTCGGCCGAGGAACCAATTAATCGTAGCGAGGAACAAATAACAGTTTGCAGTCACGAGGGTTTATAGACAATCTCGACGGAAATGTCTGGTAACGGTCGAACGCAATTGGAACGTTTTGAAAATATACGTGACCTAAAAAAAGCAATCATACTCAATTTACCGGCAGGCTATACTTCATGCAGGAAAATGTTATTTGTGTTTTTCGATTTACTATTCACGAGGTATTAGATTTCGCGTATTTCTGCCATTGTTATCACCGCACGGTGTACCTCGGCCGGAATGTTTGTTTTTGTTGAACGATTTTTGCACGTACGTATTCGTCGAAACGAAAACTCGGCTTTGGTTTTTTAGTTGGCCTCTTTTATAAATCCGTTGCAACGGGAATCATCGTGAAAATTCGCCGAAGTTAGTCGATCGAAATCGAAAATACAATGATATTAATAACGAGGCACGGTTCTTTCGTTGCAACGTCGAACTCGCTTGTCCTGATCATTTTTAACGGCCTCGCTGAAATTGCTCGTCGATTGTTTTCGCATTCGACGGATTTTTGTTACCAATTTATTTTCGTTACCAATTTATCGACTCCGTCGATATTTTTCTTCTCTGTTCGATTTGTTCTTTTTTTTTTTGTATCATCGCGTTCGATGCCTCCACACATCTCGTGTCAACATCTAATTACGCGTTTTCCGATTTTATTCAGACGAATTTATTATAAATGTTGTTCCAATCTACACCATCGCGAATTTTTATACATATTTTTCCGAATTCCGTACGCTCGGTTTGTTTCGTTTTCGTTTACGCGGTAAATTTTCTTTATACCATGGAGTCGAACCGATAGTTCACTGCGAAATCAATTTCTCGTAACCGATAGGAAATCAAATTGCACGTTGAATAAAACGGAACAATTTTCGGGATCGAAAATAAAGGATTCACCTTTCTCGGGTTATTCGGAGCGGAAACCTTTCGAAAAAAATTCGAACTTCTGCACACGCGGATATTAGTTTCGCTATATGTAAAAATAGAACATTTCTTAGAAATGATTATAATTGGCCGACGAGGAAAAACGTATCTCAAAGATGACAGAAAAATATAATTACAAAATTAACATTGCATTTTCGAAAATTCGATGCAACGGTGAGACTCTCTCTCTGCGAGACTCCGACGAATATATTCTGCACGGTTGAGAGACTAGTTAAAATAACATTGTTTCAATTAAATTATAGACAAACGCGTTTCGCAGAATCGATTAACCGAAAGTTGACTTTTCGTTTCGCCAAAGTGAAAATCGCCAGCCATCTAACACGTCCCGAATCACGCTTGCACGTTCGCCTTTTATGTACTTCCAGGCAGATATCCCCTCTGCTTCTGTTTTCCCGTCGCTTTAGGATCAGGAAAATCGAATAGAAAAAGCAAGGACATCGAGCCTCTCGAAAAAGCAGATACCGAGAGGGACCGTCGAGTCTCGAGAAAGACTTTATCTTCGATAAAACTGTAAACCGATGGAACGTTTTTCGATTCGTTGCTCGTAACCGTTGGTAACCGAAGTTTTCTTGAATTTCGATTCAGATCAGACACCTCGTTAGCAGCATATGTATAGACTCGCCAGGGAAACCGGAAGACTTGCACCAGCCAGTGGGTTTATATCCCTGTCACCGCCAGGGCGGCAATCAGGTACACGATTTCGAAAATCGAACGACAGAGCACCTTCGCGTGCAAGCTTTTTCGGATAATCGAGGGGCACGTGGTTGTATCTAATCGCCTAATCTCGGTGCTACCCTTTTTTCCAACGGGATCCTTGATGGTGATGGGATATTTGAAACTCTACTTGCTTGTGGCTTGGTATCATCTCGATCCTAATTTCGGCCAAACGTTCATCTTCGGCTCGCATCTAACGCAAACTCGACTTTTACACAATTTTTAATCAGGTTAAAGTTTTTTGTTCAAACGTACGTTGTACTCAGCGCCGGATATAACGTTCTCAGAATCGATTTGTCCAATATTTCTTTATCGATAAATTATGTTCGTGGTAAATTGTTCAAAATTGATTTTTCGTCGGATTTTATAGTACGTAATTCCAGGAGTAAATGTAATTCATTCGAGTCTCTTTCTCTCCTCGAATTATATAAATTCAAATTAAACTATTTTCGGCGAATGAAAATGTGAAGAATCAGCCTTCAAAGAATCAAGATTAATTAAAAAAGAGTTTTATCTTTCGAAAAATTCGCGTTTTACCATCGTGCACTCGATGAGCGCCCATAATCCGCGATTTATTCGTCGATTAAATCAAGACTTACCTGACCGCGTTCCGTCTAAAGCACAGCTTTCTATGTTCGTGGCAGTTCGTCGATGAATTTTTGCGCAGTCGAATTTCGTGCCAGTTTCACGACGATGGTGTTCTAAACGCCGGCCTTGTGCGCACGACACAGTTTCCGTTTAGCAGTAGCGGCGCGCTTAATCGGACGTCGAAAATTCCGCATCCGTTTCGAAACAGGCCGATTCGCAAACGCGTAACGCGAGCCACTAAATTATTTCACCGCAGTTAACCTAACCGGCCATAGTCTGTGCAAACGATGAACAGGCTGCTCTCCTCCCGCTAAGCGATCGTTTACGATAATCGTTCCGCCAGGAACAAGTATCGCCGACGTCGGAGAAAAACCGACCATTAGCCGACGACACGTTTACCCATTTAACTTGCACGCTAACTCGACCCATTTCGCTGCAATTAGTAACGTCGCTAATCTAGCGCGGCTGATCATCAATCGTCCACCCTTCTCTCGCGGAGCGATGACCCAAGTCAGGTTTCCCTCGCCCCGACGCTATCTCGTCGTCATTTCCAGTCCCATGACGCGTTCGAATTAATCTTCTTCTCACGTGCGGATAAACATTAACCCCCTTTGCTCGAACGGAACCGCTCGAACACCGCAAGATTTAATTGACCCGTTCAAAGACTCCGCCAGCTTCTTCGCTCGTTCGTCCCGTTTCATCCAATTAGTCGCGCGCGATTCTCTATACGGCGTGTATATATGATTAGACTGCGATATTTCTTCATTCTTTTTTTTAATAATTTTAATATTTACTACTACTATTACTATTACTGCTACTACTACTAATATATAGCACCGCAGAATTTACGTAGCACCACAGAATTTGTTTAAACAAAAATTTGCATTCGAATGTTAATAATAGAATATTTAAAAGCTCTTGGTGGAGCTTGCTGACGTTTGCCCGGTAAAGGCGTGATTGCGCGAAACCGGCTGAGATCGAAACTCCGAAACGCTGTTAAGGGAAAGGGCAAAATCGAGAAGGATGGCTGAAATCGTTAATTGAATATTAGGAGGTTGAAGAGCCACGATAGATCGATCGTATCGGCCGTTCAAGGGTTCCCTGCTGAGCTCTTTTTCACCAAACACGACATTTAAAGCTCAGATGCAGTAAATCCAAGCCCGGTAATTGTTAATTGAAAATAACGAGCGTGACATACTTAAAATCGAAATTGATCTCGAGGAGGTTCGAGAGGCTCGATCGAGTGGCTCAATTAAGCGGTCGCAGTCGAATCGATTTTCCAAGGGTTGCGCGTGCAACTTTTTCTTCGTCTAATAGGGTGCTTAAAACTTAATAGTGCTTTTGGGAGATAGCAAATTAAAGCGGAATAGTAATTGCGCTGCGTAAATCACGATTAATCCCGTATAGTCGAGCTTCAAATATTTTTCATGAACGTTTACGGTAGCTTCTTCGATCCTAAAGGGTTTAATTCGAAGCCCTGCCATCGACGACAAAGGCTCGTCAATTTAAAGTACAGCATTATCGAAAGTCTGATAGATCAATCGATCGAAAATAAAATTAATCTCAATATACGGAGATGAAACGAGTGATTGCAGAAAACGTTTCTTTTATTTGCAAGAAGTTGAGTTAATAATGCTAAAGTTAATGTTAATAATGCTAAAATGTTGCTACCTTAGTGTAGGGTATTTCGATTTTAATATTGTAAAATGATTATTAATTTACTCCGCATTCGAGTTCAAATATCGTGTAAAATAGTGTCCATTCTCGGTATAAATAGCTAAGAACTTTTTAAAAAGGGGTGATTCTAGCTTGCAACCGTGCTATCCGTGCAATCAACACATTCTAGATCTTACCGCTTGTAAAACGACGTTACGCGACCGAATTGGCACGAATCAATCGCGTGGAAATTGTAAAGGGTAGTCGATAGCACATGTTCTATGCAGGATCGAAGCATCGAAGTCTCCAGCATCGCGTGCGCGCTACGCTTGCTCGACGTCGGATGGCGCCACCATTCACTTTATTGGTTTCTGGCGAGCTTCGTCGATTACGTTGCCGCAAACGAGGTATAGGAGTAGACTCGGCACCGACGCGTTATCACGAACGAGGTATAGGCGTAGACCCCGACAGTGTCAGGCTTACACCCGTGTATTATTTCGTCACCCGAGAATGGGGCTTCGGAAGCCCCATTATCATTTCCTTCTCGCGGTCGTCGTTGCCTCGATATTTCAGTAATTTAAGCTTCTTAGCGAGAATCGAGTATTCCGTATATCTCGTTCGCAGAACATTACATTCGTGAACATTACGCGGACACGTCGAGACCGTGAAAGTGGAAATAAAATATAAATTTAACGGCAATTTAATTTATTGGAAGATCGCGTTTCGAGTTAAAATTTCACGAAGTACAGTAAATTCTCGCTAATTCACCCTCAGCTTGGAAACAAAGATGGACAATTTGGGAAACGGGGGTTCGATTATTCGAGCTTCGAATAAAATTCCCAAATTTCCATTTCTCCTCTTCCCAAATTGGTCATTTTCGTGTAAAAGCTGAGAGTCAATTATAATATTATTTACTATATTCTATTAAATAATTATTCTGATTATACGTCAAAACAATGACTTCCTTGGACAGTAATCGTGCCAATATTTCGAAACGCAGACACTCGAATATCGACGAAATGAGAATTCATTCGAAACGATGCCCGCCGTTTTTGTGTCCTGTGTTTAAAAATCGGTCGACAGTGGGAAAAGCGGTAAGAGATTTCGCGGGGTGCAACAAACCGTGTCAGGAGCTCGTCTCGTCGTTAAAACAACACGGGCGACACAGCCGACGCGACGGCAACGGCGACGGCAACGAGATCGCGTCGCGTCGGTGCTCGTGAATCCTGTTTCGCACAAAAGCTCCGGCACCGGCGTGGTTTAACAACCGTGACAACCAGTTACAACCAAAAACACAATCAGTCGGCGCACGGCCGGCCTCGTAAAGCGCCCCTTTAATTTAGCTATTTGCCCCAGCAATTAAGCCGCGGTTTCACGGTAATTAAGCGTCACCCCAGCAGCCTGACTGGGCCGCCTCTAATTGAGTCGCGACCACTTCTGTTTATCGATGACTTCGACGTGTTCGAATGATTCGGGCAACGCGCAGTCGGGATTTGTTAACATTCTATCCGGACGGGGCGCTCGTCTTATCGGCTCAGGGCAACCCTTTCGTGCCGCTGATCGCTGGTTACGCGACGCGACAAAGTTGCTCGTTTAGGGTGCAAACAGTGTCGTACGCTGGCGCACTGTCGTTTCATCTTCTTAACCGCGGTCAACGTGGCAATCTCGAGCCGTTTTAGGCGAACTGTGATCTGTTCGTGGGAACGTAATTTTTTGCGATGTTTAATGCCGTTCTTTAATCAGTTAGCTGTGAATCGAGCGACGACGAGTATACTCGACAATCGCGGAGTGTCACTGTTAAAATATTGGATCAAGTATACTCGTGGCGACAGAAAATACTGCCACTTCTCCGTGACGAATATACTCTTGAAACACAGCTAATTAGTTAACCAATTCTTCGTTCGACTAACCAACCGATGATAAAAGGGACCGTGACATAATCGAAACCGTTGCTAAGAAAATATTATTCCACTATAGTGCAACCGCCCGTGGTTGCGTCCAACAATAAAGTGAAATGATTTTCGAAGTTTTATCAGGCTTTTAATAAATATTTAACGACACCGAGCGCCGCCCCTACGAGCGAAGAAACTAGTTTGACACCTCGCGGAAAGTTCTCTCGGTGGTGCATTTTTTATGCCGGCCGCAGTATAATTCACGAACGAGCCGTGCGTGATGTTGCATAGTATTCCCGGGCGGTTTTACATCTCGCGTGTCTATCGGAGTTTATTTTCAGCTGTAACGATGATTAAATAAGACGATGATCGATGCGGACGGGAAATGAATAATCGTGCGCGCAGAGGCGGCGATGTTTTGAAAAGCAGTCGATTGGGTCAGCCGAGTTAATGCGCGAGAACCGCGTTAAACAGTGTCGACGCTCCTGCTCGAGTGTAAACTGACGTCGAGGACACGATTCTGACAGCTGCCAGATAGATTGCAATTAGATCGGCCGATTACATTTCCACGCGATCAGATTAATAGCGAGCAATTATCGGTAATTAGAAACCGGCTCCGATGCGACAGTCAGTTGACGAACGGGACAGTCTTTAGATGCAGGAATTCGATTTCGTCGCGACCCTCGGGATGAGATATTGTTCCGAGTGAATTACACAATCGTTGATCACGCGTGCATCCGTCGACTGTTTTTTTTCACTGCCGCAGATTTTTATCAACAACGATTTAGATAATGTTCGGTACTCCTCTGTTTATGCAATTGAAAGAACAAGAAGAAAACGTTTGTACGTTGCTTCTAGTTCGCCCTGGTAGTTGTTCGATGTAACAAAAACGTGCGTGAAGTTGGCAAGAAAACGGCAGAGAATTATGGTGAATTTGCAAGAAAAGGTGTCGTTAAACCGAGGATGTTGCAAATTGCTTTTTGACGACCCGACGTTCTTTTTAAGCAAAGAATGCTGCTACGTCTGCTATGCTTTCTTCGAGTCAATAAACCGTGTAACATGCTCGCGCCATTAATCCTTGCTTCTTTCTTCGCTTTAATCGTGCTATTTTTCAAGTTTATCATTGCACAGTGTGAATCGTGGAGCGTGGTAAAAACACCGATGGTCCTGACAGTCCGACACATACAATGTAATGCCTTTAATGTACCGCTGAAATAATTCCCAACTAAACTAACCTATCACTGGCGTGCTATTTTAAGTGTAATTTTGATGAACGTTGAAGCAGATATTCGTATTTGCTGAATTGTTGGAAATATTGCGCTAACACGGTTCGATACGAACAGAACATTCAGCCTGCGTCCTCTTTAAATTATTATTAAACCGTGGTACAGTAAATTCTTCCTAATTGACGCTCAGCTTGGGCAGAAAAATGGACAATTTGGGAAGAGGAGATACGATTATTCGTGGCTCGTTTTTATAGTCGTCGACAATCGGTAACTATCGACGAGGATTCACTGTATTTTGTAAAATACAGGATAACCCTTTTTTGTAAAATACAGGATAACCGTCCACGTCAACGAAAAGCATTGACAAAAGTGTCTTTTTTTCTCCATCCCGTACTACGGAAGTGAAAATTTGCATAAGTTGCATAAATTGTCCTGCAGTCCGCTCATCAGTGTTTCGCGAATCCAAGGAAAGACGAGCTCGTATCTCCGGAAGGAACTCCTCTCGAACGAAAACAAGGCGGCACTGCTGCCGAAGAAAATTAAAAAATTTCCCCAAGAGTTTCGGAATCTCTGCCGGTTACTTCGCCGTGACTCTCCGGGCGTTGCAAATTTGATGTTCATCCGTTGGACAGGAAACGTCGATGTGTACACGTGTAAGAACAGAAAATTCTGCTGACAATTACCGTTCCTTACATCACCCGCGATGTTTCATAATTTCGCTGCGCGGAAGAAGTTTCCGAAGCAAAAGGAAGGCCTGTGAATAGTTTATAAAAGTACGTCGACAAATTTTTTTCTCCCGCCCCTCCCCCTCGCGCGCGCCAACTTCTTTTTACGGGGCCCATAAATGTCTCGAGTATTAACTAGCCATTACCGGCGAACTTAAATGTAGTAGATTGTCGCGGTAATTACGACGATGAAGCCTCTTTGAATTCGCACGAAAAAGCTCAAACGACCCCTTAAGAGAATTCAAGAGTCCGAAAGAAAAGACAGGGACGAGAGGAACGCAATTTTTATTGGCTCGGAATCGCGTTGTTCTTTTAACTCTTAGCAATTCCGTGATTTAACCAAAGCCTCGACATTTTGTGGATATTTTTGGAATCGTTGCCTTCCACAGTTTTTATCCAAAAAGAAGAGCATTGTTTAAAACACGCCTTGCAAAGGGAGAATTAATTATTCTCGGTTGTTTCGGTATGTTTTACTTAACAGTTCCGAGTCACCAGGTTCGCAAATAACGCGTACAAACGTTTTAAATATTTCAATTCGAGCAAATCACTTGACATAAAAATGTCACAGAATCACGATGAAATCATACAATCCACGGACGCAACAATATCGACGACAGAAATATTTTACACGGATTTCGGAGCGATTACCTTCTTCCACGAATTATCTTTCCACTTCCCAGCGTTGATGTTCGACGGCAGCAACGGAAAGCCGCCATATTTCTTGGCAGACGCGAACTTTGTCGTTACGCGCGTCGCCGGAAATTGCCGAAAAAACCTTGACAGCGCAATATTTCCAACAAACTGCATGGCAATCGCATCTCTCGAGGGTGTCTACGTTCTCGAAATTCTTTCGCGCATCTGTACACGACTGTCGGGGAACCATCGGTCATAGGCAAACGCTGGAGGTCAAAATCCGCAGCCATTAATCTTGATCGTTTGTCACAGTACTGGATGTTGAGCAAGACCGGCGAGATCCGTCGAGACGAGTCGTGCCTGGATTACAGCGGCACCGATGTCATCCTCTATCCTTGTCACGGCAGCAAGGGGAATCAACAATGGATATATAATCCTCAGGTACGCTATCGTCGAGTTTACGCGGAGCCCTCGCTGTCAACGTTTATACGGCGACGACCTAATTACTTTCGTTCCGCTGCTCGGTGGTCACCGAAAATTCCTCTGTTCGAACGAACACAGTTCTTTCGATCAGAGTCTTTCGCTCGGTTCCTTTCGTTCGATCGTTCGTTTCTCTTCGTCGGTTCCTTTCGTTCGATCGTTCGTTTCTCTTCGTCGGTTCCACCGTTTTCAACCCCTTTGCGGCACGATTCGTTTCTCACAGCTACGTCGATCGGCGCTATCGTCGTCCTTAAAAATCGCGGGTCGCTAATTTTTTTAATTGACGATTATTCGTATCGTAACATCTTGTGGCGCCGTGTTTTTTCTTACCTGACCCGCACCCAAACGATTTTTTGTTGTCTTCCGCGTGCCGCGTCGCACGTTCGACCGACTCAAGGGTCACCGTCGACCCTTAGCATCGACGTAGCAGTAAATTACACGGACGTAGGACTAGCTTAGAGAAATTCACAGCAACTCGATATCTGGCATTTCCGGGAGAAATTACTCTAATAGAAAAATTTAGAAAAAAAGATGCGTTTAACCATCGTCTGGTAGACTAGACCCGTCAACAAAATATTTATTATAATTTATATCGTCTAAAAAAAAATTCAAGTAATTTAGAATTCGGTTTTTAAAAAAGGTTATCGTTGTCATTGTATCGCGAGTCAATAATTGGTCGAACAATCGAGCCGTTTATTTTGAAAGTGGCATAAGTCACTTTACCGTAATGAAAAGTGGTGATTTTTTAATGTTTATACGAAATTATTTATACTGAGAAAAATATCAGTATCCTGAGATACAAGTAAATCTTCTCGAAAGTTAGCATCCATATTTTTAAACGTGTTGAAACGCAAACCCTTAAATATGTCGACTTAAAAACAAAGTGACTTATGCCACTGTCAAAATAAACGGTTCAATTGTCCGTGTCGGCGAGGTTCCCGGACCTGCATCAACGATCCCTCTCGTGTTTCCAGACGAAGCAGATCAGACACGGCAGCAGCGACAAGTGTCTGGCGATCACGGAGAGCAAGCAGCGGCTGGTAATGGACGAGTGCTCGCCGACAGCCGCGAGGCAAAGGTGGTCCTTCGAGAACTATGACCCAACGAAGCTGTGATATCGCGCCTTTTCACGTCGCCAGTCGCGGAACACCGGCCGGAAGTTCGATCGTCCCGGCACATGGATCTCCGACCAACGGTACTCGGTCGCTAAGACCCGTTTCGGTAGATAGATCCCGTGGTCTCGGGGCCGCGAGGCCTCGATCCATCGTCGACTGGACGCCCGGGCGAAGACGAAGAGGACGAGAAGGGCGGCGCGGCTTTCCTCGGGGAGCTCGCCGGCCGAGAAAGAAACCGGGAATCCTCCGGGAACGAGGCTTCGGGAGGCCGAGAGGAGACGCACCGGCCGCCGATCGCCGGCTTCCCGAGATTATTCGGGCAGACGCAAGTGCAATAGATTCGTCGACTTGAGGGCGACCGAGGAGGGACTTACGCCTTCGGCGAAACAGCGACTGATGTACAATAAGGGGCGCGAGAGAGTCTGAGAGCTGGCCCGTGTTTCGGCCACGCTTTCGCTGGCATTGAACGATCGATTTGTTCTCGCGGAACAGTTTGGCCCGCGAGGGTTTTAGTATTAGCTTGTTGCAGACGGACGATTTTACTCGACGACCCGAGATCAACTCCGGATCCGGAGTCCGGATTCTAGGATTTGTTTGCGATGTTCGAACGGCCGTAGCGAACACAGTCTTCTCGTTTCGACGATCCTTTCGTTCGCTCTGTTACGAGAGACGGAAAGTCGAACGTTCTTTAGCTGGTACGGTTTTGTAAATAATTCGACGCCGGTGGAAACCGAGCCATCCTGCATTTACTTGCGCGAACCGTGAATCGTCGCGACCGAACTTTTTACGCGGATAGCCTTTATCGATCGCAGTTGTTTCGTCGCTGTCGCAAGCTCGCGGTGCGAATGAATTTGACGCGCTTTTATCGGGAAAGCTGCGGACGATGAACCCGATGATCATCTTCACCCGTGAAAGTATCGTGGTATATACTTCGGATGCAACAACCTAATATAACGTTGGAATGATCGGAGATTGTTCTTTTAATTTTGTTCCCTGTTAATCAGAGACTCGAGTTCGTTCATTGGATTTTCAACGATGTTTGTCGAGGTTTTATTGTTGCTTTCTTTTTATTCGGTTGCAGAGTTGACTCTGGTTACGTTTGACAATTTTTAATCGATCGATCGGACGCGACGAGTTTTGCACCCTTGTAGAATACACGCGGACGGAAACGAGGGTTCCAACGGCTGATTCTGTAGATTAAGACAATAATTAGGTTGTCAATGCGTCAGTGGCAGCGAAACGCGTGTCGGAAGTATGCGTTCCTTACGATTCGATTCCTTCTCGACGATGGCCGAACGAACGCGACCGCGTCGATCTCCGAGGAGGCAGCCTCGATCGTCGCTTTCGTTCGACCGTGGACGTTTCAATAAGGATCGAGAACTGTTCGTGGAAGCTGCTTGCGGCGTGTGCCATCACAGGGAAAACGACGTGTCGCGATTCTATCTGTTGCGCAACGAATCGTTGACTGGCCAACGACTGCGAAATTTCAAGCGCGATTCTACAAATGTTTGGCTGCGAAACGAACTCCGATGGAAATCCACCGACAGATGTCGCGAGACTTTCTAAAGTTACCGAAGTCTTTCCGTTTGTTCCTTCTCTGTAAATTGTAAACCTTCGCTGAATATTTTAAGTGTTCGAAATTTTGAATAGGTTTGGAAGAAGGCCATCGCTTTCGTAGAAGCATACAGCGAACGATGTAGAAAAATTGTTGACAACGTTATTTAATCGTAGCCGATGTTGCATCGAATTTGTTTCGCGTTGATTTTCATCGACGATCTCTTGTTTCGAGATTTTACGATTTGTTCTATCTACCTACATATCAAATGAATTGTTACGAGTACCGCTGTTCGAAGAATCAAGAATCCAACTTTTGGGACAGCTGGGCGAATTCATTTTTATCTGAAATAATGTTTCAAGGTGTACGCTAACGTTATCAACCCTTTGCACTCGAAGCTGTTTTAACTGTAAACCTAAAATAATTTTTCTGACTTATAGCATTTTCATGTTATACGATATTATGAAATTGAGTCTTGTGACCTCGCGCGACAGTTACACTTTTTACACAATTTTGTCGATCTGAACTTCGTTGATACAAGAATTATTTTAGAACGTGATGTAACAAATTTTAGCGGTGTCTCGGAGTCGTCATCTCGAGTGCGAAGGGTTGAGCCTTGAGCTCGATGAATTTTCCTCGACATATCACGTCGAATTTAAGAACTTCGATGCGTAGAATCTCGGAATTCTATGCATTACATTCCTGCATATCAGTATTCAACGTTTAATCTCGAAGTCGATCACGTTCGCCTATATTTTAACCAAACGCAAAAAGTAAATTACTATTTAGAACATTTCATAAATCGGTTCGTATTTTATGCGACGGTTCTTCATCGTTTCGATCTTAGAACTTTTGAAGCCGGAACTTGAAATCGAGCTGAGAAAAAATAAGGAATACGCTACGCATTCTCCGTAGAATAATTTCGAAAAATAATTTATCGCTTCGAGAACGATATCAATCCCTTCAAAAATTGTCCATTATATATCGTTTAATTTGAAAAGAAATATATCTTTATTTGAATTTCAGCTATATTTACGCTGGTTTGGATAATATCGTCGAAGTATAAAAATCCAAAGGGGGTTGAAAAGTCGCTTGGCTTCATTTCCCGAAGAAAATGTAAAAATACCTGCAGAGATGAGTCGGCTAGTTCGAAGGTAAAGTCCTTAGTCTGTTCGAAGTAAAATTAGACAATTGATTATCGAGAATGCTTTCGAAAGCGTGTGCGAATCAAAACCCGAAGAAGTGTGTAGAATGGATCAGCCAATCGATGATTCGTCGATCGTCCCTTGCATCTCTGTCGTGCTCTCAGCGATATATCGTACATTCCAGTGTGGTCGGGAACGACGTTGACTACGATCCCGAGTTCGTGCGCGACGATAACAACCCTTTCTCCGAGTAATTTAGATCACGTGTAGCGTGTAGGGACGAGGAGAGAGAATGAGAGAGAGAGAGAGAGAGAGAGAGAGAGAGAGAGAAAGAGAGCGGAGGAGCGACGGTATACATTCCGATACTGTCTAGGAAGACTTTTGTACATTCGTGTAAAGTATCTCGATGCCAGTTTAGATACCGCCTAACGTAAATTTTTCCGGGTGTGTAATTACGAGTGTATGTGCGAGAGAATAAATCATTTGCAGAGTGCGTGATCCTGAGCCACGAGTTCCTCTCGAGGACGACCCGTGCGACCCTTCGGTGTCCACCATTGTTTTCGGTCGAACAACAATCTGTTCTTCGAACAAAAAGCTTCGGATCTGCGGTTCTCCTAAAGCTTGCACCGTGGGTATAAAGCATGGGAAAGTGTTTGCGCGTATTTTTTTACAGTGACCAGAATTTATGTGCATAGCAGAAGAAATTGTATTTTTAAACGCGTGCATCGTACGAAGGACTTTCTTAACCCTTCGCACTCGAAGCCATTTTAACCGTAAATCTAAATTAGTGTTTCCGTCTTATGGTTTATTTCCATTTTATGCGACAAAGTGCATTTTGTGCATATGAAATCGAGCCTTGTGACTCGTACAATAGTTAGACTTTTAACAATTTTTTACAACTAGAATTTGATAATATAAAAATTATCTTAGAACGTGATGTAACAATTTTAGTGGTGCCTCAGAGTGCAAAGGGTTAAAAGTTTGTTTGCAGGGGACAATTGGTTTTAGTAATACAGTTGAACATAATGATTTAATAAGATAAGATGCGCATGATCTGCAGCCCTAATTTTGAAGGTTCTAGTCAACCAGATACGAACGACAGACGTTAACGAAATTAAGCGTTGCATACTTTCTCGATATTTACGTTGCATACAAATTTTATTAAAATCTAGACCGCAACTTTCCTTTAAAAAATTATTGATACAAGAAATGATACAAAAAATGAATTTTACTCGCAAGAAAGTACAAAGGTCTGAAGCTAAAACCGTGCGCGTTCAACAGAAATGATTGAATCCGCACCGACGCCAGAAAACGCAGTTCCAAAATAAAAAATAATGGCTTCCCTATGAATGGACACCAGAGGGTCGAGTATCGAGATTCCATTGACGTAATCTGCAGACGTCTGTGCGTGCCAACGAAATCGTGAATGTCGCTGCCAGTGTGTGGTACACGATACCTATTCCAACATCGCACCGTTGTCGAATTCTTCCGCGAGTCGTTCGTCCTGCATCGTGCACGATTTTCGCGTTACATATCGATAAGAAAACAATACAAGAAGCGAAACGTATCGAGGATTCTCGTGGAACGAAAGCGCTCGAAGGCTCGCTTCAATTTTATCAGAAGGTTCTTCGAGGCAATACAGGATATCCTACAATTATATTACCAGCTGGAAACGGATGATTCCTCGAGTCATTTCAAGCAACTTTCTCCTTAGCGAAAATGCGATCCGCGGCTTCGTTTACGAGTTATTAACGAAAAACCCTGACCAATGGGAAGCGAGGTCGACTGGCGCGAGGCGGTCCAGTCAACGAGCCCAGTTCCGCCGATTGGCTCGGCCGTCTCAGCAGAGCTCGCCTCTCATTGGTCACCGTTTTTCGTTAATAACTCGTAAACGAAGCCTCGGATCGCATTTTCGCAAAGGAGAAACTTGCTTGGAACGACCTCAGCGATCACCCCTTTCCAGGTGTCAACATAATTATGGGACAACCTGCGTACTGTACATTCGTCGATTGCCAATTAATGGAAAAATCCGCAGTAAATCGGGCTCGCAATTTCGCGAGTAGTTTAAGCTGCAACGATGCGAAATACAGACGCGCGATGCATCGGCGAGTGCAAGCGATCGCATGCGGAAGAACGCTCCACGGGAAATAATATTCGATGAAATGTCGCGGCGAAGGCATTTATGGCGTTCGAGCCAATTTATTCTACCGTTCCAGGTCATTTTCCCCGTTCTTACGATTTCAGAGTCGATCGTTGCGCGCGTTTCGTGCCGGCACGGAAATCGTCGAAATTGTAAATCGATTTTTTCAGTTTAATTCAGAATTTTAATCGATGCGGACAAATTTGATCGTGGATGTTCATTGACATCGTTATCAGTAACTCTTGTTCGAAGCATTATTATTGTTCGGGCATTTTAATCGGTCGCGATTCAAGCGAAGCAAGGAAATCGAATTGTTTCGAACATTTTTCAACCCGGGCAGACGTTTCTCGATTTATGCGGGGAAACTGCAAGGGAAACTTCTGCAGCATCGAATGATCGAGGTGCTTTTCAGTTCGAGTGGGAAGTTATAATAATCCTCCGCGCCCACGCTTTAACGATATTCTTCGACTTCGGTGGAGAGATGAAATTGACAGAGCGACGCCTACGCCTCGGGAATTGTGCAATTTCCGGCGGACAGATTTAGCTGTGCAAAGAACGCTTTGCAGTTCCAAGAAAAATATGGAAACGTTCGGATAGTTTCGATAGAAGCATCGACGGAACACGGAAACCCGATTAGAAAACCGCACCGGAAAACATAAATTAGAACGTGTTAATATTAATTCAGGCAATTCGGAAATCGTTTATTCGATCCTGTATATTTTCACGGCGATGGTAGAACGGCGGACGGCCAAAGGGTACGAAGGGGGGAGGGGGACAATTACCTTGAACGAGAGATTGCCTCGATCGCGACTTCGAGATCAACGCTAAATCAAAATTTTTTGTTCGCGATTCCTGGCACGCGTTCAGCGAGAACAAGAACCGTGGACATTTTTCCTGAAACTTGATGATGGGGGACGATGACACGGTCGACCAATGACGGTCGCGATTTCATCAGGAGTAAATTAAGCGGAATGGGAGGACATACATATAGGTTTTAAGGTGGTGTAAGATTCTTTTCTTCGAAGTACCGATGAACGGACGAATGGAATTCAACGAGAACGTTTATACAGATAGATATATAAATATATTATAAATATATAAATATATATATATATATATAAGACATTTTCTACATTTGGTAAGGATGTTGCATATCGTGAGAAGAGCGGAGATACAATGATGATGATAAGAGATATAACAGAGACAGCCGAGCGACGCTGGTCGCACGTTAATTAATGTAATATCGAACGTGCCTTATTTCCTGTATATATGAATATTATTATCACTATTATCATTACTACGAACCTCTATCGTAACGTGCAAGTATTTGTGTTGAAATAAATCGATGTTGTTTTATGTTACCGGTGGAGATCGATCTGTTGTTCCTCTCGCCATTTCTATTCTTTTCTCCATTTCCTGGGCTCGACCGTGAACGGTGGGCGGACTTGTTTCAAAATAAAAAGCACCATTCAGAAATCACCAGCCTCTGTTTTAAATGATATTATTTCTAGCAATGGGCACGACGCGCTCTCGCGCACCGATCAAGTAACGTTTCCTACGATATTCTTCAACTCGTATCGTGTTAAAATACAAATTTAATTCAAGACGATTTAATTATCTAAATGTAAGTATATTTACTTGAAAACCGCTCGAGAATTAAATCGAACAGCGAAGTCCGAAAGCCAACTGTTTCAATAAGTTAATCGATACACCGCTCGTTCGAGTTGACAAACTTCCTTTCAATTTTACATGTTATTTGTCGAATACATTAGCGGTTCATCAAGCGTGCGGCTTCTTCGTGCTAATTATAGCCATCCTTCAAATTCAAGATTCTAAGCTTCAAGAACTGTCGACAGAGAATTCTTTGGAACGAAAACTGAAAAAACTGTCTTTATTTTAGAATTTGTTCGATTCCTTCCAAATTTAGACCATTGAAAATCGTGCTGTTTCATCGATACGAATCGACGCGCCACCGATTGTATTCTTCCGCAGGAAAAACGTGTCCTCTCGCTGATTATCCTTCGTGACCGATCGCAATTGCGTTCGAACGCGCACGGGTCCCTTTGATGCGCCAGATTTGCATAATTGCACGCAGCATCGAATCGAGGGTTTCCCATGAAAGTCGGTCATGACATAGTTCCAATCAACCTTGAACTATTTCGGTCCGACCATAAATTTCCGTTCGCACTCGATGCGCCGCCCCACGGTCGCGAATTCTTGATAAATCGCTGAACAAATTGAATCGATATTCGATCAGCAACGCGATCATTCGGCTCCGATCGATCGTCGATTATCCAGCCACGCGTGCGAGCAGAAAGAACAAACAGAAAATTCGTGTTATTGATTTTTCGCAGACGGTGTCGAGGCGGCCCGGGTTTTTTTGCGGAATTTTACGCGAATCGTTTTTCAAGAATTTTGTCGAACTGCTGCGCGTGTCTATCGAGCCGTTTACCAATTATCGAGGGGCTGCTACGGAAACCAAAACGAAATCGTTCGTTATTCTCGCGCACGCGTTCTCCGGCGTCGGAACGCTCCTCGCCTAGGGAATACACCGTCGACGAGGACACGTCTTTTCCGCGGAATTTCTCGGAAAAATCCTGCACGCGTGTCTCGTTGTTACGCAAATTGCCCGGCACTCTTTGAATCGACACGCTGCATTTTCAGGATTTTACGTTGCCAGCTTGCGTATCGTCTCGAGTCCGAGTCGATTGCGACGAATATTCGTCGAAACGAACGCACGGCGAGAAATAACGAACGCTCGAAACGGTTTACGGTTGTTAAAAGAATCGAATATGGAATCGTTTAGCACGATTCAGGTTGCGTTTCGTTCTGTGAAACGTGAACGACGGCACCGGGAATATTGTTTTAAACAAGTACAATCGATGTAAAGTTATGTCAGAGACGAAATTTATACGCGCATTCGAATATATAATTAATTTACGGATGTTTCGAATGCAGAGAATATTTAGTTACATTTGTGCGCTCTGTTAATTTTAACGAGGATAATGAAACGCGCCGTAGAACGAACCGAAATCAATTTATCGTATTCGGAGACGTATCGATGTCAACGAATAATCGTTTTTTTTTGTCGGAAGCATCGAGAAATTGAATTTGCATCGCGGAGAAACAAAAAGCGAAATACCCGTCGAATATTTGAACTGTTCATATTTGAAGTCGACTCTTCTTGCTCGATTTAGATATAAATTAGAATGAACAATACTTTCAACAAAAAATACGGTCCCGACAAAAATGAAAATCTCGCCGTCTAACTATGCTCGTCGTTCTAAAAATAATATTCGCTCGGATAAAAATACTCCGTTGTTCGAATTTTTCTTTCGCGCGATCAACAACACGGAATTTCGAACGATCGAGTAATTAATAATTTTTTGGGAAATTACGAATCGGTTCGTTCGCGGCTCCGGCAGCGGAATAACGTTTCTTCGATCAAAATGCTTGCGCCATTTCCCTCAACTTCCAGCCGGGGTGGCAACTTGTTGCAGGGCCGAATGTTATTGATTAGTAGAGGAAGACGGTCCGGAATGAAGGGAGACGAGACTCCCCCTACAGTCATGAATGGTTGTGGTCCACAGAGCCAGATTTTGAGCTTGACCCGGATTCGTCACGGTGGAGTTCACGTTACCTTCACTTTCGTTGCCCAAGTTGTAACTCGATGTGGAAAAACCGTGCCAGCCATGGGACACAATTTTCGCCCCGATCGGCCGAACTGATTGTTCGAAAAAATATAGATTTTGTTGGTTGCAACTCCTACGGACGCAGGAATTTCGTAAACGTCTTGTACACCGTGGTTAACTTGCTTTTGTACCGTTCGATGCGATGGATCGTTCCATTTCGCGATAGATTTCCAGCCATCCGGGTCTCCGAGTTCGACGCGCAATTTTGCAGGCTGCGTATTTCTGTAACAGATTTCGTTTTTCCGTAGCAATTAGCGAAGAGTCGGTTAAAACGCGATCATATTTATTTCACGCGCAGGATTTTATCGAATTCCGAGGTAAATCGAGGTTTCGTTCGAATTTATCGGCTTTTCATTGATTCAATTAATACTGGCGTCCGTGAAAATCGATTTTCGCATGCGTACACACTTCGGCGGGTCCGATCGCTATGAATATATGTATAATGAAAATGTTTGGCCGATAATGAACCAATAATGAAGTTACACGGGAACTTGCGAATAAATTAGTTAATTTATTTGACATTTTCGCAGGATATTCCTGGAACATTATCGACGTTACAGCTTTCCGCCTCGATCACTGTCCGACGTGTTTTCACCTCGAAGAAATATTTCGCAACCACAGATCCTGTTTCTCGGTCTTTCTGTCCACTTGTCATCACCCTCTAGCTTCTGATATTGCTTTCATCCCCCCGCGCTACTCTTTCTACCTCTGAAAATCATTGATCACATCGCATCGAGACAGAGAGATCTCCACTTGTTCCCTTCAGTCCACTTTCGTCTTTCGATAAGAGCTGTTTCACCCTTTCATTTTCCCGGAATCCTCATCCTACCGTTTCTACCATCTATGCCAGGTCGTAGCAAGGTCATCCAATATCTAAAAGCTTATTTAAAAAATCTATTTAGAATACCTTCGAAGGAGACTATGAATTATGGAGACAATTCTGCTCCATTAAATCGCCTGCTGTCTTCTACGCCTCTCAAAATTGCCTACCGGAGGTCACAGCAAGGTCATCCAGTGACCATACAATACTCAAAAATTCACGAACAGGTTATTAATAAAAGACTACATATAATATAGAATTTTTTACTTTCTAGAAACCCACTCTGCTCTTCTATTATAAACTGTGTCTCGTGGATGGCCCTTCATCCCCTCGAAATCACCAATCTAAGATGACACCAAGATCACCCAGCAACCAGATAATATTTCAAAACAATCATTAGGTTCCTAGTAAAAGACTACATATCGCATAGTACTTGTTACTTTCCAGAATCCTACTTTAAATTTTAAACTGTCTTGCTTCCGATCCTTCATCCCCTAAAAATTATCAATCTAAGATGAACACCAAGACAACCCAGGTGTCAGATAATATTTCAAATCAACCGATAGGTTCCCCGAGTACACAGAAATTTTCGTACAGAAACTCCTACCCCCATAGATCCCGACTGAAACGCCCCTCTCTGTCCCCCACTCCTCCAGCGGCCAGGAGTCCAGGGTGACTCGAAGGACACCGGTAACCAGGTGACCCTTAAAAATCCAGCGACGGGTCCTTGAAAGCGGCGGATCAAACAGGTCCTCCAGGCCGCTCGACGGCCTGTGCACCCCCTCCCCTGTCCGTCCATGGCAACTCCCCGAAGCCTTGGTAACCACGGATCTCAGGTTACGTCAAGGATAACCCGGTAACTAGGTGACATTTAAAAATCGGCGGATAGGAAAGGGAGAGGTCCTTCGGAGGAGGCTGCGGCTCGTGGAGGCGCAGCCGGCGCGGCGGGTTTCACCCCCGGCGAGCGGACTGCGTGTGCGCAGAAAAGGGTGGCCTGGCCTCAGGGAGTGGAGTCGTAGTCTCGGCGCAGTCGACTCGTTCCGCCCGAAACCGAGCATTCGTTTTCGCATTCGGCACGCGAGACCAGCTCCATTCACGGCACCGACCTGCTCGAAAACCACCCCCGCGCGTACTCCTCGGGCTAGAAGGAAGCTCGGGCCCCGATTCCAGGCGGATTTTTTCGGATCGTGGTCGCCGAGGGCTGATCGAAGCGGAGAGGAGCGAGCGACGCCGCCGCGGCGTCTCGAAACTCGGTCGCGGAGCCAGGCGTGTCTCTCTCTCGCTCTCTCTCGCGCGCGCTCTCTCTCTCTCCCTTCGGAAGGATCGGCCTGGGTGGCCCTGAAAGCAACAGGGGTGACCGTCGGTGGTTGTCGACAGGGGTGGTTCGTCGGAGTTCGTCTCTCGTCTTGCTCGCGTCTACGTTTTCGCTCGCGCGAGCGAAGACGTTTCTCGTCGCAATCCTCCCCGGCTCTGATCGGCATGCTCTGAGCCTGGCCGACCGAGGGTGAACCCGGGCTGTTCGTCGATCAGAGTGCTGCTGGATTATGCGTGATCGCGGAAGCGCGGAAGTGAGGTAAAAGTGTTTTTTCGGGGCAAAAGCGGCCCGGCGAGCGAGGGGGCTCCGGGACTCGAGCAACAGGTAATTTACCCCTCCTACGGGGGCACCCCTTTTGTCGATCTTTCGTTTCAGAGTGACCCCGTTTTATTTCCGACGGCCGCGTCGCGCAGTTTCAGGGCCGGTTTCGCGTAATTACACCGTGCTTTATGGCGTTCTTTTATCGTGGTTCGGCGATTGTCTTTGCTCGAGGGAGAAACGCTGCTTTTTTTCGGTCTGCAGCTTCCGGCGAGGATTTTTCTTCCGCTGGCCAATTTTTATTTTTCCTCGGTTTAAGAATTATTTACCGAATCCTTTTTTGCTTGTGGTATTTTTATTTTTACTTTGGTTTATCCGCTTTAGTTTTTCGTTGAGGGTTGTGACGGTTTTAATGTCTGTGGAATTAATAAAAAGTTTACAGAGACTGGTACGCTGAAATTAAGTTGTACCGTGTTGCATTTAATTTCTATATATATCTTGATGTTTAAATTATTATCTTTAATTAGGAATCGCTTTTATTTGCGGAAAAACAAGAATAAGATTATTTAAAAACGGTACAACCATGGTATAATTTATCTACTGTCATCTTCAGCATATTCTACGATGTCTAATTATTAAGAAATTACAGATTTTATGTATTTACGATATACGAACGAGTACTGTTACATCGTATAATTTCAAACTAATAATATTGTTACATTATTTTCAGCTTATCAAAGTTATTAAGAAGAAAAGTAGACTTCTACTTGTCTCCTGTTCTCTTTAATTGACGCAGAAAATTTAATATCTTGCATAGATGTTTTATATGTATAATAAAAGCGTCGATTTCCTATAAAATATATACTTCAAGCGTTAGTATTTTCATTTTAATATTCTTATATCGATTTTCCTCGATGACCAAAATAATAAGTATAATTACAGTAACCATGGGATGACTTTGTCGGACGGTATAAAGTTATCCAAGCAAATTGTTAGGAACTGCGAGCTCCGTGCGTCATCGTGAAACAATGTAAAACAATGACTTTCAAAAGTTGTCAAAAAATTTGAAAACAAGGGTGTCCGAGTTTCGAGATAAAAATACCATTGAAATTTTTCATAAAACGAAGGTCCATCCAGGTTGAAAATCAGAACATTCCGTAACGTTGATCAAAGGGAAAGTTTATCGAGTTTAATTGGATAGTTAAAGCACCCTGCGATAACTGGATACATTGTTCTCGAACTTACATCGTTGTTACACACACACACAGAAAGTGCAGCGCGATATTACAGAATCGGATTACCCGAAATGTCGTGACATTTCTCTCGAATTCTATCGGATTAAAGCGCATTCTGTTTCCGAATGAAATTGTTGCAACGAGCTTCGCCAAATCCAAAGCGCATCGCAAACCTTCTCGCGATATTTGCAATGCTGAAATGTTCGGCTACGAAACGAACAATCCTCCCAAATACAATTCACGACTACGATTCGTTCGAAGTGCAGCGAATTACGATTACAATTCTATTTCAGAGTTTTCCGTATCTTACAATTAACGTAGCAAATTATTTTGTTTAAACACTCACGGTCTAACGGTCCAATGAAACCGTTAAATTTCACTTGCTCTCGAATAAAAAATATTCTACGAGATTATGGGGTTGCAAGGTCAAACTATATATGTATCCTCGACTGCAAAGGGTTGAACATCCGCCAACGGCGATTGACGCGTGAAAATGGTTTTCACCGATGCTAAAGAAAAACGGCAAAAAAAAGAACGTCATCCGACGTTTATCGGGTGACAAGATGAAAATGTCGTTTCACGGTAGACAGAATCCAATCGTATCGAATATTGAAGTTGAAATGCCGCGAAATGTCGTTGAAATTATTCGTCCGATTTAAAGGTCAAACGTAAATGAAAGTTTACTGTCGGCCAGGGACAAGGATTAAAGGAGCCTCCGGCTGCAAGTAGGTTAACTACATTGTAGATAACGGACCTCGTTACCAGGAGGGGTAGTTAAGGCTTTCGTGGAGGGAGGGGACGGATGATTTATCGATGAACTCGCAGATTTTCCTACGCGATAAAGGAAAGAGCATTTCGTCCATTAAAGCGTGCCTGCCGCTTTTTCATTAAAGCTTCTTAATCATCTTCAGATGAATGAATTCAAGCATTGAAAACATTTCGCGCGGGAACGATTTTTTCCGAAATAAATTTTCACATAGAACTCGATTGTCAGTAATCGAAAAAAGCCTCCGGATAATGGAACAATTGTTCGATTACAGGGCTGGATGAAACGTTAAATAATAATGGATTGTATAAATGCAGTACATGAAAACATTGTTTTTGAATATCTATATTTAATATTTAATAATTCGTCGCGTTTATTAGAGCCTGTACGGAAAGCTGAAGCGACAAATTCTTCGACTTCAAATATCATAACCTTGAAATCTTGTCGCTCCTCTACCCTTTAAAGGAAAATTGCCAGGAAATTGTGACCTTCTCGAAATTACCAAACTTTTATAAATTGCATTTTTTTATTGTCACTAAAAATAGCGTCGATATTCGAGATGGGAGAAGTTATTAGGGCACTCTACGCGTAAACATGTTTTTTGATATTGAACTAGTTTTTTCGATGAGAATAGACGCTCGACTTAAATAGAAAACTCGGTTGTTCAACGCTGGGATGTACTGTATATATATATTCTTGTGTCAGAATATTTTTGAATGGAAATTCTTCAATGGGAAGAAATAAATGAAATATAATAATTAATATATTTCCAAAAATCCTCGTCTTCGAAAGGTCGAATGAGAATCCGATTCCATAGTTGAAATCGATATCTTCGCAAACATTTCCAGCGAGATCCTTTTAATATCGTACTTCTCTGTAAAGAAGACGTTGGGAAAATAAATCTCCCTTCATCCCACGTAACTTTAAAAATAAAATAGTTAAACATCGAATTAGGAATACGCTTGTTACACGAATTGATTTATTTTCTGTACTTCGTGTCGTCGATTACTAAAGATAGCGTACACGTATATTTTGAGAAAGAAAATATTCCACTCCGCCACCCTAATCCTGTATTTGTCGTAAGACATTTTTATTTTCTTTGAATATAAAAGGTGAGAAAAACGTTTACACGTTCAATTGAATTTTATAAATGTCACGCATAAATGCTATCAGTCGATTCTTTCCTGTGGCATTATACATACATAGAGTTATCTCGACGTGTCTTGATGATATTTTAAAAATACTGCTACGTTATTTTCGACTTGCCACAATTATTAGAGTGAGATATTTTTATATAATATATATTTATATATATATTTATATACAATATTTATATATAATTTAATACATTTGATACATACATACGATACATTTTGCACACATAATTTATACACGTTTCTACATGCGTAATTAAAAGACGGTGCACGAAATCGTTTCCAGGAAAATACAAGCTCGATGCCGGAGGCTTCGGGGTCTCGGGTGACCGACGAGCCGATTCTTTACGAGAATAAGAACGTCTTGGCGGAAGACATGAAGTTTCTGGCTGGAATGCCGGAACTTTGCGACGTCACGTTCCTCGTCGGTGACACCAGAGAGCCAGTATGCGCTGTCAAGGCTGTCCTAGCTGCGAGAAGCAGGTGAGCTCCATGGAAGATACACGATATATATGAAAATATATATTATATTACATTCCATATATCTATGGAAGATATAACATGTTCTGCAATTTCCACGTTCGCCCCATAACTGCAACGTACATGGGACCCATAAATCAGAGACGCTTCAATTTATTGCATTTTTCGCGAACCAAAATCTGTTCGCAGTTTCTCATCTGCTGTATCGTGTAAAAAAAATATTGAAATAAAACAAACGATGAACGGCGAAAGTAGAGGCTTCAAGCTTCAAAATCAGTCCGGGCTCGTCGCTGTACGATTTTTTCTTACGAAATTATAGCGGTTCAAATATCGACGATTTCTTGAAAGTGTCAGCCTTGGGTGCTTCGAGATAAACAGCACATTGGTTTCACACTTGTTACACAAACAAATGATTTGGATTAATAGAATGCAACGAGTTCGTTTGATAATTATTATCAAACTTGGGCATGACTCGTTCATTAAACGGAATAAATGTAACAATAATTGGAATAAATATAACAGTATTCGCTGAACAAACCACCCGTTTCATTAACGAATAAATGAATAAACAATTAATGGAAAATCAGAAATGATGTAATAATAATAATAATAATAATAATAATAATAATAAATCATAAATGGCCTACGAAAATGGAAATTCCCGCGAAGCTCTGCAGTTTAATTGCGACGGTGAAGCTTCGACTTGCTAAGGGGTTGTTTCGTCGTTGTTGCAGGGTGTTTCACAAGATGCTGTACCAAGCGCCGAGCCCGCAGCGCAAGAAAGATCCGCCGACACGCGAGAACAAGATCCGCATGTTCCTGAAAAGAAGCTCGGAGCCGCTGTTGAATCTGCAGAACGCGGCGCAACAGGTAAAATTGCAGCGATTTCGTGGCGATTGTTCCCTTGCAATCGTTCTTGCTGTCCGTGGTCGCAAATACTAGTACACATCCCGGCAGTTTAGAGAGCCTGGCAGCAAAAATCTGGCAGGAACTCGGATCGAAATTTTCCGATACGAGGGCGCGAAGTACGTAGAGTAACGCGATGCAAATAAGTTTTTGCCGGCGCATCGAAATCCTGTCGAATGCGAGGAGTATGTGTAACCAACAGACACGGCGGACGCCAAGCCAATCTTAACCGCTCTATTAAAAGTTATTGTAAATGTGCGTTTGTTATATGCCGTGTAGCGGTCAGGGTTCACGCAGCAGTTGGCTCCCATTCAAGAGGTACTATGAACGTCTCTTCTGGATACGATGCTCTGTCCTCCGCTCTTTCTCATTCTGCTCACGTAGTCTGTACAGTTGATACCGTTGATCTTCCGAAACGGATTGCAAAACGAATTACCGTAGAGATCCTCGTCATTTAATCGATTCTCATTAGGAGATATCGGCTGTTCGAAATTCTCATCTCTTCATCAGTCTGCCCTGTGTAGTGAATCAGTGATATCGTGGCCATAGAAATTGCATGAAGAAACGTTCGCACATATATCACACGAATCATCCATATGTTCCTTGATAGTATACTTCGTTGTTTGTTGCTCTGTCTCGTAGCGGGTGTGTATGATAGCGCGAAGATAGCTGGATCTCTTTTTTTCCCCAGCGCTCATTTTTCTCTTGTAGCGTAGAAACTAATACTGTGATCGCACAAGCACTGCCATAGAAGTCGATGGAAAGCATTTAGAGCATTTTTATTTTCATAGTAATTCAATCGATACGATGCTGGTGGAACTTGCAACCACTCGAAATAAAATCCAGTGGACATTATTAAATATTTTGACATTCTATGTAGACATTGTTGTCTCTAATTCGTAAAGAAGATCGAGCAAATTGAGTAAAGCTCAATTAACTCGATCATTTTAATAGAATAATATACTATTCTACGGTCTGTAGAACGATAATAAAACGAAGAAAGTTTTATCGGATATTCTGGAGGAACATTTTTAATGGTAAAAAGAGGGAAATGGAAAAGAAAGAAACACGATAGTCTCCATTAATAAACTGCCATCTTGTAAATAGCGCAAACTATTGTAGTACTCGATAGTTGATACCGTAATGTAAATACTGTGTTTATTTGATCTTTTTTTTCTCTTTTTTTTTTACTCTTTGAGTGAGCATGCGAACTTTAAATTGCAGCCGCGATCCTCTGGATCGCGGAGACGGATGCTCGTCTCATTATCGTGCAGAGAGAAATTTGTAGCGGTTATGGGATCGCAGGATCGCGATAATGTTATTCGGAAACGGCGCAATTTAATCTTCTGCATCTCACGAGTTCGTTACGTAGTCGTGGATTTATGATGGTGTTAGACGCACAGTAGTTTGCCTACGAGAAACCTGCACCCACGCCGACTGTGTCGCGAAATGATCACGGCACGGAAGTCCACGATCGACTTCCGCTAATGCTTCAGCGATCGATGATGGACGATCGACTAAATTGTTTATATATTCGGAACCCCGGGTTTTATCCAGCTTCAAAATAAATTGGCGCCAGTTACGCCGATCTGTCGTGCATACTTATTTTTGCTAAATCGGTTTTAAAAACTGCAAAAACAATACAAGCTTCTTGAACATTGAAATGCATTTTGCACGCATTTCGATAGTTTGAATTCTCAAGCCTCCAGAGATTCGGGCAATTAAATGGTCAAAGTTATGTCAAAATTTAGAAACAGTTTTCCTTCGCGAAATGTCAACTAATTCACTGGAAAATTGTTGCGTGGGTGATCTGATCTATTTAAAATTTAGCGTATCCATCGTTTGAGTGTGCCGTGCAATTCGCTTAGCATAGTTTGTGGAGTTCAAGCTAGATTCGGAATTATCTCGATGACCCAACTGTATATTCACGTTCGTATAAAATTGAAACTTTTTGCCGAGCCGCAGCCGAATCAGCACACAACTTTAATCATCGAGGAGTTCGAGGCGGACGTCTTCCGGCAAGTGATCGAATACATTCACACCGGTTGCATCATGCTGCAGCCTAGGACATTGCTAGGTAATTGGCACAATCATTTTTTTACTCGATAACTCGACCGACCAATTAGCTGCTCCTTGTTTTCCCAACGTAATATAATCTCCTGGTGAACGTTGTTGTTTTAAATGTTGTTATTAACAGGTATATTTTCGAGATCGTTTCTGCTCGATCCTATTGTATTTAGTCTTAAGTTGCGTCTTCGCGGATGGTTATGTCATTTATCGGAGAGAGTGCGGGAGAATTGTCCCATGAGTGTTATCGTTTGTTCTCGGTGCGAGTGTGTTGCCGCGATGGCACGAGTGGTGTGCGAATTGGCGTATTTATAAACTAGCGACTATCGCGTTGCGATTTAAGAAAGTTCCGATAACTTCCAATTTGTAAACACGCTGGTACTATTCGGCTGGCAAGAAAGTATTTTCGGTTGGCGCGCACGGAGAGCGTTGCAATCGTTGAAAGCGTTGCAAGCGACGAAATTATTTTCTTGCCAACCCAATACCATACTACAATCGAAACGATCCGTTCCCAATTCCCGCAACGTAATCGATGAACAAGTTGATTCGCTTGCGATCGTACTGTATAATCAATCGAAGCCTTCATTTATCTATATTTTATGATTCACGAGATCTTGTGATTTTTGTTAGCTATTTGGAAAACTCTGCCTCGATCGGTTGGAAAATATATTTTCTTCTATTAAAGGGGTGATGAATGCTGCGGATTACTACGGCTTGAACCAGCTGAGAAGTGCCTGTGCTGGATTCGCTCAGTGTTGCATAACAGTGGACACCGTGTGCGCTCTGTTGGCATCTGCGGAGCGATACATTCAGTACAAATGTACTAAATCATTGGTTCAGAAGGTAAGCTTTCGCATTTGGCATAGTAAATTTGACGAAACCAGCGACGCCGTACGTTTCGAAATAACAATGGAAGTTAAAAGATAGAGCGCATCTTTATAAAAATGAAATCTGTTCAGATTTTCTTCCCTGCGAAATGAGATTAGCCGGCAACTTGTACCGCGTACTCCGACTCTATTTAATTGGATCGATGTTCGAAGGTACTGGAATTCGTCGACGAGCATGGCAACGAAGTGCTGAACTTGGGATCCTTCACTTTGCTGCCTCAACACGTGGTCCTGTTGATCCTGGCGAGGGAGGAACTGCGCGCTGACGAGTTCACCAAGTTTCAAGTACGTCGAAATTCATAGACTTCGAAACTAGAGCACCATTCGTTTCCATTTTGTCAATCTACAGCATTTCTTTGCAACTATTCTCGCGTTATCTCGCTGCAAACGCTCGTCTAGCTACTTCGAATAATCTTCCTTTTCCTCGTCGCATTCGGTCTAATTAGTTAAACAGTTGAACTAGCTTAGACTGCGAAGGATTAATCTTATATCCAAACCCGAGGCTTCTTTTTTGAAACGATCGTAAGCAACGTGTCCATTTCTGATCAGGCGGCCTTGATGTGGAGCAAGAAATTCTGCGACAGCAATCAGACCGCGATCCTGAAGGACGTGATCGCCATCTTCCTCGAATACATCCAGTTCCATAAGATTCCAACAAACGTGCTGATGAAGGAGATCCACCCGCTGGATCTGGTGCCGTCTGGGATCATCATGAAAGCGCTGGCCTATCAGGTGCGTGTTGTCCCGGGAACGATAGCGCGTTGTCACCGCTACTTTCTCGTTGTTTTTTCTTTCCGTTATCGCGGGAACTCGCTGCCACGTTCGAGCGACTGCTCTTGTCTTTCTCTAATATCTCTATTTCGTTCTTTATATATATATATCTCTCTCTTTCTTTCACGTTCTCTCTATCTCGTTCTCTGTATCCTTATTTACGATCTCGTTCACAGTTTTTCATTTCCACTTTCGCAACGTCGACACCGCCGATCTGTTTATCGGTGGGACAAGTGAGATTCGCGCGAACGATTCGCGCCTAATCTGATGGAAATTAATACTTGAGAATCGCACTGTTACAAGCGGCGCTTTTTAATGTAGCACCAGGGACATTAGTCTGTGAATTTCGAACAATACGAACTAGAAAATGTACATGCTTCACCGAAGGTAGTAAAAACCGATTCACACATGAAGTCTTACTCTCGATGTTCCGTTGCTCACCGTGATAGACCAAGTATTGCCCAAAAAATGTTGCGATCGCAAAGGGATTAAAGTAAGAATACAATCTCTGTGTGGATGTGTGGTGTTCTCTCGAAAATTTCGAACTTTCGACCGGCTAGAAGACGAAATTTTCAGTAAGCAGAACGATCGCTGAGATACTCTTGCCAATGTAGTCACGAAATTTATAGCAAATCTATCGGTACTATTCTCTTTTCGAACGATCAGATACCTCTGACAATTGCATTTCTGAATACGAAATAGCATTTTTCTTAGGAAATGCAAAATATAATTAATTAAGCCTAGGAATTTTCGAAATGCAATAAAAAAAGAATCGTTGTAATATGAGGAAATATAGAATGGTGTTTCGATCGGTGTTTATTGCTACAAACAATCTTGGCAATCTAACATGATTAGAGATTTTCGAGAAAATACTTTTCTCCGTTTTTTCTCAAGCCTTTCTGTCTGCATTTCCCCTATTTTGTAGAGCATGCTTAAACGAAAACAGCGAATCAGTTATAGAACATTCGCAATTCACGCTCCATCGTTTAAAAAAATAAAAGTATAAAAATGTTGGATTGAAGTATTGAATGAGGTCCTATATTTCTGTATTCTGTCACGCCCACGTATAATTATTCTGAATGCATTTTAATGTACGAGATTTATCTTTCTAAGTATATTACCCCTTTATACGACACCCTGTGTTCGATTTTGATCGGTAATGGGACCAAGTTCGATGTGCCAATGATCGAGTAGGACTTGGTATCATTCGATGGTTGATAAGCGCTTGAGAAACTACGCTTCTACTCAAAAATATTCGAAGAACGTGTTTTGCTAATGGATAAAACGATAACGAACGCTCGAATTCATTCGAATAATTTCGGTTTTTCACGCGCAAACCAAACGTTACGATCGTCAAATTGCATTTACCTCTTTCTCGAAATTGTGTTTGTCATAAGCGATGGAATATTTTTGAGTGGCGGCGTAAAATATCGAACATTGAATTCTTTCCTATCGATATTTAAATTTTGATCGACATTATATAATGCATGCACACATTTTTATCTATTTGTATACACCAAATTTTGTTGGTATGCGTAGGTGTATGCACTTGTTCTTCGCAGCGTGAACGATACTATGAGAAACGAAAACGAAACGAAAAGAAAATGTTGGAGCAATTGAATTTTCAGATCATTGCTTTCGTAGACCTTTGTTCCAAACATATTTCATAGAATTTCACAGGCTGTTCCGAATCGTTCGAAAAGTAACGTGTTATCGTCTAAATGCACACAAGATTACGTAGAGTAATTTCATTGAAATTTACGTTGCCTTCGAACAATCTTATTCCATGCAAATGCATAAATATTTACAACTGTTTACGTGAGTATCCGCATCTTACGCACAAGTATGATTTCCACGTTTTCAAGTATACCCAGAGAACTCGATATCGTTGATTCCACACCACCGCTTGAAACATACTTGGTCCCATTGCTGGTATACAGTTCCCCCCCTCCTTCGAAGCTGATCAGATTCGGAGAGAAAAGATTTCCAGTGCTGTTTAGAACGTGTTAGAAAATATACTAAAAAACAAGCAGATGCCAGAAAATTTGCAATTTCTTCATCCAGCTTCATTCGTTCATTACATTTTCTTCTTTTTACTTCGCTGAAACCGAAAGTCTTCAACGTTACACTCTTGTCGATCGTACTACCGTCGATCTCTATATTATCGCTATAGCTCTGAAAGAAAATACTATCATTGCTAAAGAAAAAAAAGAACAAATGAAACACGAACTTCGAGTGCCAGCCGATAAGCGAAATTATAACAAGCTCGAAATTACAATACTTGAAAAGACTGTCCGCCAATTCGGTCCCGACAAACATCCCCAAAGTCGTATTTATAAATTAGGCACCAACACCTTGAGCACCTAGGGGTGGAACTGTTACAATCGTACCACTCTTTGACAATTTCCAACTTCAACAAAATTAAAAACAAAAAAAAGAACATGAAGATGGCTCGGTGAAGACTGTCACAGACTGCCCCTCGATGTTGCGCGAACCCCGCGAAGTAACGAACCCATTAACCCCTAGGCTACTGAGGGCGCCTATAGGCGCTTAGAATTTTGCGTTTGTGACACTGAGAGCGCCTTTAGGCGCCGACACAGTTTTTTGACACGGAGGGCGTCCATAGGCGCCCTCAGAATTTCATCGATATTTACATATTCCGATAGATCTTACCGAAAGTTTTACATTAATATTAAATTTGGTAATATTTACAGCAATTCGATTCAAAGAAATCAATAATATTGTTTCAATGCAGTGATATTCAGTTTCTTAATTACTGAAATATCTTTTTACAAAAATGCATCCTTACCCAAAAGATCGCCGTGCTCGGCGTGCATCGTAACTCGATTCCTGCCATAGTCAAGGGGTTAAGTTAGCGCAACATCAACAGACCTATGGTCCTCGAACATGTCCCAGCACCGCACTCGTTGTCAGTATTGATTGTCGACTCCGCCGTTCTGTGATCCATCGTGATGATCGTGCGACCCCCCCCCCCCTTCCCCAGCTAGGCTAGAGCCAAATGGTGATCGTAGAAGCGACCGACGACACCCGTTCGGCGGATCTCCCGAAATCCCTTGACCGGAGGGTTTGTTGCAGGCAGACCCGAGCAGTGTCGAACCGGAACACTCCCCCCACAGAGTGAGGCGGACGGACCGCACCTTGTCGGTGCAGTCCTCCCCGGACCAGTACGACAGCAAGACGACACTGAGCTCGAGCGGTTCTGACGCCGGCTCCGATCAGAAGCAGCATTCAGGTAGCAACTAACCTCCCGCTACGGCCGCACAGAACGCGGCCGTTTCGGACGGGTCCCGACGCGAGGAGATTCCTATTAACGATGGCTGCTCGCATCCGCTTGAAGGTAAAAACAGCACAGCCGAGCAGGAATCGATCGGGGAGCAGAGCCAGTCGCAGCAGCACCACCACCAGCAGCAGCAGCAACACCAGTCGCGGCAGGAGCCGAAGACCCAGAAGCAACAGGAGGAAGAAGAGGACCTGCAGCAAAAGATCAGGATCCAGCTGCAGATGCTCAGGCAGGAGTTAGAGATGAAGCGGCAGATAGAGGAAGCGAAGATACACGAGCGGGAGGAGGAGCTGAAGAGGCAGCAGCAGGCCGACGAGGCCAAGGAGAAAGACGGGGACTCGAAGGATGGTAAAAAGGAGAAGGACAAGCGGAAGAAGAGCAAGAAGTCGAAGAAGGAGCTGAAGAAGGAGCTGAAGAAGAGGGAGCAAGAGGAGGCGAAGGAGCTGAAGAGGCAGCAGGAGGAGCAGGAGATGCTGAAGAAACTGGAGGCGGATATCATGAAGAAGCAGAAGGAGGAGGAGGAGTACATGAAGAGTAGACAGAAGGAGGAGATGATCAAGACCAGGCAAAGGGAGGACGAGATGTGGACCAGGCAGAAGGAGGAAGAGCTGAGGAAGCAGGAGAAGCTGGCGATGCAGCAGGAGCAGATTGAGAAATCGAGGCAGAAAGAGGAAGAAGAAGCTAGGAGGCAACAGGAGGACGCGGCCAAAGTTCGGGAAGACAAAGAGAAGTCGGAGGAGAGGTCCGCCGCTCCGGAAGAGGTTCCCAAGGAGCCGGAGGACGCGTCCGAGTCGAAGGAGCTGCCGAGGCAGAACGAGAGAGAGAAGGAGGAACAACAAAAGCTTCGGAGAGACATGCGGCTGCAGTTGCAGTTGCAGGACCTGAAGCAGTATTCGGTTCTGCAGCAGCAGCTGGAGCTACAGAAGCAGGAGGAAGCGTTGCTCAGGCAGATAGAGGAGAAGCGGAGGGAGGAGCTGCGAGAGGCTCCGGAGTTTCAGCTGTTCCAATTGTACCTCGAAGGCCGGAAGCCCGAAGCCGAGAAACGCGCGGAGGAACGACAGGCGAAGGAGCTCGAGCGGAAGGAGAAGAAGAAGAAAGAGGACAGGGTGAAGGTGCGCGTGAAGAAACCGGAGGCCCAGAAGCGGGACCAGCAGGACCACCAGCCGCAGGAGCTGCCGGTCGCTGCTCCCAGGGAAGGAGTCAGCGGCTTCTACATCAGATTGGTGGTAACGCAAGGGGGCGGCAGGAACTTGATTTGGCTCCTGAAGACGCACATGTTCTGAACAATAGCTTACGTTCGAGAGTCTATTCTGGTTTGCCACTGTTGAAACCTGTCAACGGATTTGTTATTTCCGCCGTGGAAAACTGTTCCAGAGTATAAAACAGGATTATCCTTCGAAGAAACGAGGATCGAAGATGTTTATGCTTGTTCGTTGACGCGGATGGTGGGCCGACGCTTCTGCGGACGCCTCGCATCCTTCGATCCGTTTATGGGAATCGTCGGGGCGTTTTCGGCTGCACAGCTGGACAGCCGCACGGTTCCATGGTTGTTGGACGTCGTTGTCGGAGAGGCAAGCGACTGGAAGCATATGGAAGCAAACGCGTTCTGTTAACAATGATTCATTTATCCTCGAGAGAAGGGGGGCGTTCGTTTCAATGTCCTTCGATTGATCCATTTAACTCGAGTTTTCAGGATCAAAATTGGATCAAAGTTGGATCAAAGTTGACCTTCTTTTTTAACCGGTTCCAGTCGAAACCGACGGAACTTTTCGATTACCAAACTTCCCCTGGAATACTTCATCATCGGCTGTAGTAATCCTTTTTTTCCGTCGAACGTGGGAAGTACCGATCGACGAGCACTCCCGAATGAGACAAGATTCATCGGAGGTTCATATTATGTATTCGTTTTGGGAACGCGATTCGTTTTTGTTCTACACGCCAGTGTACATCTTTTTTATCGAAGCGTTCGTGGAAACACGTTCACGTCCATCGAACGGAACCTTCGAACCGAAACGTCCTCGTCGTTTTTCTACTCTCTCTCGCGTTGACTAAAAAAAAAAAACCCTCGTCATTAGCGGCACTATACTTAACGAAATTTTTACCGGAACATTGGATTCTCCGCGTCGCGTTACCCGGAACGATGGTCTCTGCGGAGCGCCGAGAACCAGCTCGCCGAGAATCGTTCGAAGCTGCGACTAATCGCCCGCGATGATATATATTTTATCACAGACATCGATCGCAGATCCGATCGCGTGTGGACACGACGGAGCGACGAGAGGACAGTGATACGCTGGTCGACGATGTTATTGTTAAACACTTTTACTATAGGACATATCCATCGATTACCGTGAATTATGTATGTCGATGAACCGCAAAAAAAGACTAACCGTGCGCGTACATGTATCCGTACGAGCACGCCCGCTCGTATATATATGTACGGCTGTATATCTATATTTGATACTATACTAAATGAACAAATAGAGTGTTTATAGGCTCGTGTTGCTTCCGGGCGAGGCACTCGAGAACTTTAGCTGGTTCGACAAAAATGACAAACGATTCCTCGAGACGCAGGCCAATTTTTCCTCGGTTACCGTTTTCGTTCGAACGACGCGACGTCGATCCGAGTCGCAGACTCGGTGTGTATCTTGTTTTCTCGCTTAGAAAGTATGCAAATCGAACGCTTTCCTACGATACTTTTTTTCTACGTTTTTCTATCGTACCTTTTATTGAGACACACTGTTGCTTCGGACGCGCCTTGTCTCGACGTTCCAGGCGCGCGACGTTTCTTTCGCCGTTTTCGATCTCCGACGAGATCGCTTCGTTATTGTGAACGCCATGTGGTTTATGGGAACTTGTTAATGGAAATTTGGATGTGTATATATGTATATGTATAATAGTAACGTTTAACCGACAGACAGCTGGGAGAAAGATCTGCAGAAATTTTATCGCTGTTTCCGAGAAGTTCTGTTTGGAATTGTGTCTAAAAAATATGTTGGAGTTTATAGGATCGTTCGTTTAACAACGTGTGCGATAATTTTAGTCAAAAGAATGCTTGTTGAAAAGATTTAAATAACTTTACGAAACGCCTCGTTCGCGTTGAATATTATCGTTGATTTATGATGTTCGGGAATCGATTCTGTGAACATGTTTTTCCTCGGCTGTCGTTGCAGAAGAAATTGTTTAAAAAACAAAAAAACAAAAACGTGGATTAAATCAGAGTGTTTATAAACGTTGTTGATCGATGTAATTACTCGGCGTCGACGAGAGGCACGATGTGACAATTTCTAAGATCTCAATTTGTTTAAACAGCGAGCGCGGTGTGAGAACAAAACGGGAACGTGGATGTTAATAATTATATGATAACCGGTCGCCGAACGTGGCGATCGCACGTATTGTGAACAAAGTACTTACGTGTGATGTGGTGCGAACGTGTATGATTGATGTTTTCCGTATTTGTGCAACGGCAAATGTTCTTCGAACGAAGCACAGTTTTACGGAGGACGCGGTACGTGCTCCATCGAACTGGCTTTTCTAGTTGAATTCGTCCAATTGTTTGTCATTAATTCGTTTCTTCAACGTTTACGCAGAATACAATGCATTCTGCGAAGCGCCTGACGTGAATCAAAGATTTTGGAACAAGATTCATGCCGAGGTAAGCGAATAAGTTGTATAATTCCTTAAGGAATATAAGAGTGCAGAATTTTTCTGTTGCGGATAAGACTAAAGTACAATTTAATGATTTTATCATCGGGAAAATTAACGAAACTCTTCTATGAATTATAAAAGACTGAAAGTATAAAGTACAATTTATTTCCTCAGGTTCTCAGTGCTTTTTCGTTTTCGCTTGGACAACGAATGCCGTCGTCCGAGCAAAATCGTTTGTTGTATATATATAAAAGAAAATTGTTGCTGTTAACGGTTATTTTAGACGGTCGTGGCATATTCGACAGAACATTTGCGATAGTTTTTACGCGCGTATCGTGTACAGCCGGTTTCACGAACATAAATTGTAATCGAAAGCTGCTACGAATATAGAGAAAGAAATGAAAAGCGAAAAAACCAGAAAAATTTAAAAAAAAAATACAAAGTCGTCTTTGCAACAGCTGTGCAATTATCTGTGCAATCTCCGTGCAACGTTGCGCCGAATGACGCAGCGGGTTCGTTGTTAGCGTGTAAAACGTGTCGTATGTAAATAAGAACTGTACAATTTCTGTAAATTTCGTACCTCGCAGGTCGCACCGCTTTCGTTCGACGGTGTTGTTCAGACACCGAACGAGGAGGGAAAGCTATCATTGGACTGTGGATTTTATGCATTCGTCGCGACAGCGTTCACGTTATCAAATACAAAAAAAGAAGAATAAGCTATTAACGAATTCACCGGCAGCCTCGGTTTATGCTCGGACGCGGTGTATAAATTTCGAACGGAATCTGTAAAAATTCGATTTTTTCGTTGAACTTTCTACAACGATCGTTTACCGTACAAATCTTTGCATAAACATCCGCAGTCGCACACTGTCATTGTGAATCGTGAAATTCTCGCTGTGTATTCTCCTCTGTTGTTCGTCGGACTGTCGTGTATAGCAACGTTGTATAATTGTTGAAACAAAACCTAGGACAGTGTTAAGAGGCGACAAGAAAGATAATAATGGGTCTTCTGTGTGCTTGGATTTTCGTTGTTCTCCTTGCGTATGCCATCGACAATACTTTGTTCGTATAACGTGACTACGTGCTCTTGTCTCAGGTTCAACTGTCATGAATACACAGAGCTACTGGAAAAAAAGAGTATAAAAAAAAGATCAATAAAAAGAGTTGTGATTATAAGTGTTGTTGCTTTCTGTCGTTGGAAACTGCTGGCCAGAACCGAGCAGAATTTTTTAGCAGAACAATTGAAATGAGAGCGGAACGAATCCTCGTCTCTCTGTAAAAATGTTGACCAGGACTCGCAAGAACTAATTAAGTTATTAAGAATTTACCATGGGTTTGGTTCGTTCTCTATGCTCAGCGATGCAAGGTCAGCTGATTGCTGCCATTTATTATCGAACGAGCTTGTAATTTCTTAAGAATTCTTGAAGAAATTGTTCACTGTGGATCTTAGATTTTTATGGAACAATAGAGTAGAATAATATTTATAGAATAATATTTATAGAACAATATTTATAGAACAATATCTATAGAACAATATTTATAGAACAATATTCATAGAACAATTAGAGTAGATAAAACGTTACGTGGTCCAATATCGCGAGCATTCCCTCACGTTGGCAGACTTCCTCGGGTCTCCGCAAGTTTCTCGCGAGTTCTCCAGCGAGCTGGTAATTCCGTGGCGCTCGGAATAAGGGGCACCTCGAGAAAGAGGATGAGCTCGCAGCGGGTCGATTCGGCGGAGTCGATTCTGAAATCTGTCGAGGCGGTTTTCGAGACGGTCGTGAAAGGGCATCGAGGCTGATCCAACGGGCGTAATTACGAGCGATCGTTAATCGGCTCCCTCGGTTCTTAGGGATCAGCCAGCCGGCAACCGGGCAACCGGGCAACCGGGCAACCGAGTGGAGCTGCTTCACCCGTTATCAACGGCCGACGCATACATCGTTCCCCGGCCCACAAACTACCAGGCTCGGAGCGTACGATTTCGCTGCAGGTTACAATTACGAGCGAGGCGCGTAATTAAAAGCTGAGGTCCCTCATTTATTAATGCTACCGGACGAGTCCGGTCGCTGTCGATGCTGCGCCGCGGCTCGCTCGGTTTAATGCCAAACGTCATCAGTCTTCGAACGGCGTCCTTCGTTCACCCTGCACTCCCCCTGCTGCCCCCTCCGACAACCCTTCCGCCGCTCCCTCATTTGCATACTTCCGCGATGGAATGCGCGTCCACCGATAGGGGTTATCGATAAACCGCGATAATTGCGGTGCGGCCGGATGACTCAATCAATTTTATGTCTCTCCGTGTAATTAAGCCTCGTCTGGCTCGTCCCGCGGAACGCCGAGCCGGCAGCAACCCTCGCTGCACGCCGCAGCTGCATTGTCGCGTACACGCGATCGTTCGCGAACAAAAGGCTCGCACCGACTCGGACCTCGGAACACGGTGCCGTAACTTCGCGGAGCGTTATCGCCGAAATGTCGCGATGACACGCGATTTTTCTGTACGCTCGCGCAGGGGATGGCTCGTCGGCGGACTGCAGCTTTCGAGACGATCGCCCGATCGTGATAAACGCCTGGAATAATCGTTCGAATCGACATGGATTTTGCATTTAAATAATTGCGCGTTATCCGCGAACGAGCATCGGATATAGGAACGTCGCGCGACCGTCGAAGAGTGGAATAATATCGAATAGAAAGTCCCCGTTATCGATGATCGCGTCGATGGATGCCGTTTACGTTCGGATCAGCGTAGACCTCTTTGAAAATCTCTCGCATCGTTTTCACCAGGAACTCGAACATTAATGTTTGCTCGTGATCAAAATCGACGAGAGGTCAACGCGGATCGACTGATTTACTCTGATTCGATTCCTCGGTAATTGCTAAAGCTACGTTTAGTAATTGCTGAAATTTATAGAATCGTGGGAACTTTTAAAAGAGCGGTACGCGCCCGACCGTTTTTTCCCCCGTGTCTGTCATGCGATTCCTACGGAAGACTGGATTTTCCCAGTAAACGCGCGTGGATATTCGAATCGGGAAAGCTTCGCGAGTTTTATCGAGGAAAAACGTGATTTAAGACGTTTACGCCGATAATTACGCCGACTGCGAGGGTCCGAACGACACGGGGAATACCAGTTCTCCTAATTACTAGATCCCGGGCGACGTATTTACGTTTNATATTTATAGAACAATATCTATAGAACAATATTTATAGAACAATATCTATAGAACAATATTTATAGAACAATATTCATAGAACAATTAGAGTAGATAAAACGTTACGTGGTCCAATATCGCGAGCATTCCCTCACGTTGGCAGACTTCCTCGGGTCTCCGCAAGTTTCTCGCGAGTTCTCCAGCGAGCTGGTAATTCCGTGGCGCTCGGAATAAGGGGCACCTCGAGAAAGAGGATGAGCTCGCAGCGGGTCGATTCGGCGGAGTCGATTCTGAAATCTGTCGAGGCGGTTTTCGAGACGGTCGTGAAAGGGCATCGAGGCTGATCCAACGGGCGTAATTACGAGCGATCGTTAATCGGCTCCCTCGGTTCTTAGGGATCAGCCAGCCGGCAACCGGGCAACCGGGCAACCGGGCAACCGAGTGGAGCTGCTTCACCCGTTATCAACGGCCGACGCATACATCGTTCCCCGGCCCACAAACTACCAGGCTCGGAGCGTACGATTTCGCTGCAGGTTACAATTACGAGCGAGGCGCGTAATTAAAAGCTGAGGTCCCTCATTTATTAATGCTACCGGACGAGTCCGGTCGCTGTCGATGCTGCGCCGCGGCTCGCTCGGTTTAATGCCAAACGTCATCAGTCTTCGAACGGCGTCCTTCGTTCACCCTGCACTCCCCCTGCTGCCCCCTCCGACAACCCTTCCGCCGCTCCCTCATTTGCATACTTCCGCGATGGAATGCGCGTCCACCGATAGGGGTTATCGATAAACCGCGATAATTGCGGTGCGGCCGGATGACTCAATCAATTTTATGTCTCTCCGTGTAATTAAGCCTCGTCTGGCTCGTCCCGCGGAACGCCGAGCCGGCAGCAACCCTCGCTGCACGCCGCAGCTGCATTGTCGCGTACACGCGATCGTTCGCGAACAAAAGGCTCGCACCGACTCGGACCTCGGAACACGGTGCCGTAACTTCGCGGAGCGTTATCGCCGAAATGTCGCGATGACACGCGATTTTTCTGTACGCTCGCGCAGGGGATGGCTCGTCGGCGGACTGCAGCTTTCGAGACGATCGCCCGATCGTGATAAACGCCTGGAATAATCGTTCGAATCGACATGGATTTTGCATTTAAATAATTGCGCGTTATCCGCGAACGAGCATCGGATATAGGAACGTCGCGCGACCGTCGAAGAGTGGAATAATATCGAATAGAAAGTCCCCGTTATCGATGATCGCGTCGATGGATGCCGTTTACGTTCGGATCAGCGTAGACCTCTTTGAAAATCTCTCGCATCGTTTTCACCAGGAACTCGAACATTAATGTTTGCTCGTGATCAAAATCGACGAGAGGTCAACGCGGATCGACTGATTTACTCTGATTCGATTCCTCGGTAATTGCTAAAGCTACGTTTAGTAATTGCTGAAATTTATAGAATCGTGGGAACTTTTAAAAGAGCGGTACGCGCCCGACCGTTTTTTCCCCCGTGTCTGTCATGCGATTCCTACGGAAGACTGGATTTTCCCAGTAAACGCGCGTGGATATTCGAATCGGGAAAGCTTCGCGAGTTTTATCGAGGAAAAACGTGATTTAAGACGTTTACGCCGATAATTACGCCGACTGCGAGGGTCCGAACGACACGGGGAATACCAGTTCTCCTAATTACTAGATCCCGGGCGACGTATTTACGTTTCGTACAAACCATAACTAATGGCACGGCATATGAAATCGGCGAAGCAATCGGTGCACCGGAGGAACGCGCGGATGAAATAATATGTTTCGTACGTACGCGGTGGACGTTCTTACAAATGTAAATGGGCATCGTAACGAATATTCATCGATGTAATATAGCGACAAACGCGCCGGAAGTTGTAAGGATTATTAGCTTCACAAATCAACTGTCGATAGGCCTGCTTCCTGCAACTGTGTCTTGTAATACGCTATCGCAAGGTAATCGAATGCATGTTAATTAATCGAGAGCTCGCATCGAACGACCGGGGAAGGGTTCAGCGGTCTTCTTCGTTTATTACGGTTATTCGTGTATTATATTGTTCTCCGCGGGATCGTGTTAAAACGTTTTTAGGACCGCGTCGAAATCACCGGACAGCCTTTTCGTGGATCTAAACTCCCGCAACTGTCTCGAAATTCTCGTTATGCAGTGTTAACAATTAACACATAATTTTGACAAATCGTTGGTAAATCGTTATCGATAATTTCGCGATAAATTTTCCGCATAAATAACGAAACGATTCGGCGGAGCATAAGACGGAAGATTGAAAGGATTTAAGAAGACGCATTGTCGCGACGTTATTGCAATTTGAAAATTCCAGTATCGTAAGATTGCTGCAATTTTTCTTCCAGCGAGACGCGCGTATTCTTAATATCGCCTTCGCTTCGTATTTTTCTAATTACCCCTGAAACATTTTCATCGTCTATTCCCCGTTTCTAAACGAACCACGCGAACAACGCGCAACGTCACGCATGATCCGTCAACGTCACGCGAGCATTCTGCATAATACGATTACGACTCATTATCGCTTCTTATTGGTAATAGCGCGTTTCCACGAAGCCCCGGCAATGCCGCGCTATCGAAGTTATTCGCGTTTCGTACGTAAATGTTCAAAGTTTAACGCGAACAATACGCCGTCGCGTATTCTCAATGAATCATAGCGAAAAAACCTGACCGTGTGCAATCACGGCGAACGGGTTGTATTGATTTACGAGAGGACAGTGTGAAGATCAATTAAGCTGCCGCTCTTTTATCGGCGCGAAAGAAAGAGGCACCGGGAGGAATGTAAACACTCGCTTTCGCAACATCTCGAATAAGAGAATCGATATCTCGTGGCGTCAGCTTCCAATAAGAATCAAACGGCGGTTCCTGTGTTGTTCGAACCGGGCGTGATACTCTGCCGCTTCTGCCATTCGTCGACGGATTCCTCCTACGTAACGGGCAGATATCCGCGCCGGGGGATGATTAACGACGAGTGCACGTTCGCGCGACGAAATCGGTAAACAGTGAGCAGTGTCATGCGGCAAGAAGGTCGACCTATGTAACAGTTACCCAATTCTTATTCTTCTCGTCGCGATTTGACCACTGTCCCGTAACCGGCCGCAATTCGCGCGGCATGTTATTTCCGACACGATTAGATTTGCAGAATTTCTGCGATTCTTTTCGCGGTTCGCTGGAATTTGGATCGTTCTAGACATCGACAATGTTGCGAAATCGTTTATCGGTTAGAATTTTTCTGGAGAAAGGTGAAAATAATGTTCGCGAACGTACTTGTCGTCGTAATTGGAGATCGTAATCGGTAGCGACAGATAGATCGCATCGAGAAAGTTACAAACTAATCGAAGTCTTGCTGAAAGCATTTAATCGACGATAAGCGAAAGAATGATTTCCGATCCGGTCGATTATCAGCAACTTATCGATCACGATGGACAATCATCACGGACGTTGTGCCAACATAAACAACGTGTTGACATGCGGTATCTCGGTACTCGATCTCCTATTCTTTTATCTTCAATGCCACGCCACGATCGTAGTCTGATCGCGCCGAAATGTATATCAAAATCGGCTACAAGATACAACGAAGGGAAACCGCATTCTTTCAGTCACGAAAGCCGAGGCTTATTTTCGAAATTCACGCGAGCGGTAAAAAGAGCTCTCTCTCTCTCTCTCTCTATCTGAGAGAGCTCATTTCGAAGGACTTCGAGGTTCGTTGACACGATTTCAAGGCTGGCATTCCAAAGGCCATTTCCCGAGCTACGAATCCCTGAAACAGATATCGCAAAAAAAACAGCTGCACCGATGCTCGATTAGCAGCTATGCACACACGGGGATCATCGCGCTTGGATTGAGCAGCTGTAACCACAGCGGAATGTACATATTACATAAAAAAAAATATTTTAATCGCAGCATTTTCTCCGATGCTAGGGAAGATAAGAGATACGCGAACGCTGAATTACCGAACAGGCAGTGGAGCATCGAATTGATAAGAGATCGCTGGTGGTAGATGAATGTTGACCTTTGGATGCGGCAGAGAGCAGTGATGTAAGCGTGCTGCGACCGTTTATAAATTGTGGGACCGATCGATTTGCGACACAACCTGCTGCGATGTTGGCGATCGCTGCGTTACTTGGCCTGTTCTCGGCGACAGTGGTGGTCCATGCCGACCACAACAATCCAAATTATGTGTCCGACCACGACGGCATGGTGCACCTCTTCGAGTGGAAATGGAAGGATATTGCCACGGAGTGCGAGACCTTCCTTGGACCGATGGGATTCGGCGGTGTTCAGGTGGGTGCGATCCTCGGAAAATTTACGGTCGTTCGTGAACATTTTCGTTGCACCAATAAATAATTTCGTCGCGCGTTTCCGTCGATGAAACGAGAACTCGAGGCTTCGGTCTTAAAGGGTTGACTGACCTAAAGGTTGACGTATCTTGGTTATTTTTGTTGTTCGAGTCTTCGAGAATAATCCTGCATTTTTTCTTTCCTTTTCATTTGCAAAATGGCTGTGCTAAATTCGTTAGCTCACGCTAAATAGCTCATGCTAAATTAATACCTGTTATTAATTGGGTTAGCTTGCAAATAGTATAATTGACAGGTTCTCGTTTTATTTGCATCGTCTTTATAACGTTTATTAATGTTTCTAAAGAAAGGAATTTTTTCTAACGCAAACAGTTCGATTTAATTTTCATTACTTCACGCTGGAACATAAAATAAGGGTGACAATCGTTTGTCTACTTAGCTACAATTTTAACAAATCACCTTACAAATCGTTTCCATTTAGGCTCGTAAGGCAATTCGTCAAAATCGAAGCTAACCGGAAAAATGATTTTCACCCTTATTAATATTATTATTAAACCGGTGATTTGATTCGATCGTAGTAAAAATAAGTGGATAAAATTTAAAAGGATACAAGAATCAAGAATAGTCTAGCAATATCGATGCGTTATCGGGAAATGTTCGTTCAACTGTCAAAGAGATTCGTCTCGAAAGATTGATCTCGATGGAATCGAATGTACAAACGCTTTCTCGATCCCCTACGATCGTCATGATTCGTGATCCAGGTTTCGCCGCTCCAAGAGAACGTGGTGATCGTAAACAGGCCGTGGTGGGAACGCTACCAGCCGATCTCCTACAAATGGGGAACAAGGTCTGGTAACAAGGAAGAGTTCATCGACATGGTAGCCAGGTGCAACAAGGTCGGCGTCCGAATTTACGTGGACGCTGTCGTGAACCACATGTGCGGCGACCATCCGAACGCAGTGGGCACCGACGGCTCCCGAGCGGACACCTACACCCGCGATTACTACGACGTCCCATACACCAGAAAGGATTTCCACCCTACTTGCGCGATCACTAACTATAACGACGCGTCGAACGTGCGTAATTGCGAGCTGGTCGGCCTCCACGATTTGAACCAGGGAACCGAATACGTCAGGGGCAAAATTGTCGACTTCATGAACGAGGCGATCGACGCTGGCGTTGCTGGTTTCCGGTTAGTATGCTCGTTCGTCTCTTTCTATGCATTTGTTTAACACGTTTTTATTTGCAGTATTAGAGTCAGGATTTTATAGAATTTTATGGAGTCTTTTATAGAGTCTTTTTTTTATATTTTATTATATTTAATTTTATAGAGTCTTTTTTAGAGAATTTTATAGATTTTATAGAGTCAGGAAGTTATTTGTGACAGGAATAAAGGTAGATAAGCAAAGATATATTGTTTTCAGCTTATTAGTACGGTCAGGGGGTGCAAGATATTTTTATTCGGCTCCTGTTTTTTTTCCAGTTGAAGCATACAATTTTTATCATACAATTTAACCTTGAACACCATTTTCATTATTCTTACTCTCGTAGACGATTAAACGAATCCATTGGAATTACATATTTTTGTCGAGGACGTATTTTGATTTGTGTTAATATATTTGCTCTTCAGAAGGCAATTATTATAGTGAACGTCGATCACTCATTTTTACAAAGTAAATATCTCTTTTCTAAAAGAACATACGTATTAATATTTCTCTTTCGGGCGTCAGAAACAATTGTTTCGCTTTAGTATTATAATAGATCGTGAGCGCATTGACGTACAGCAAATATTTTTAACGGGATTTCTCATTTCGCTAAGCATATCTGTTACGTTCTTCCAGTATGGACGCTGCGAAACACATGTGGCCGAACGACTTGAAGGTCATATACTCGAGATTGCACGAACTGAACCAACAGCACGGCTTTGCCCCGGGAAGCAAAGCGTTCATCTACCAAGAAGTGATCGATTACGGCGGCTACGAAGCGGTTTCGAAATACCAATACGACGAAATCGGCGCGGTCACCGAATTCAAACACGGTCAAGAGCTGAGCAACTCGTTCAGGGGCAACAACATGTTGAAATGGTTCGTCAACTGGGGAGAAAAATGGGGTCTTCTGCCGTCGAACGTTGCCTTGGTCTTCGTCGACAACCACGACACTCAGCGTTCGAACAATGCTCCGCTCACCTACAAGTCACCGAAATTATACAAGGTATATCGCGAAGTTATTTCTCCATTTTTTACGATCACTCTTAAATGGAATAAAATAAATCCCTTAAGCCATTCTGTTTATTCCAACAGACCTTGCTAAATTATACCGAGACGAATACATTATGTAGTGAAATACATATAGCGAAATGCTGGGAAAGATTTTTTTAAATAGGGTTCGACTGCGATTGTATTTATCATTCGATTGCAAAGTTCGTTCCACGATAAATTGGCCGAAAAAAGAGATGAAATAATTTCGAAGCGTATGGCAATTCATAATAAAGTAACACACGTGTAGCACTACTGTTATGTATATGTAATGTGTATACAGAAATAGAGAGAGTAGAAGGTAGTAGTTAGTAACATTGACGATCAGGTGGCTAGTAGAACAGGTCGACACGTAGTCGGACAACAGAGATTCGCTTTTTACTACGTCGAGCATAGAAACATCTTGCCCTGTCATATTATAAATACATTATTGTTGCAATTATATTTATTTCGCAATTATTTACAGCAACATTGCAATGTAATCGTAATATTTCGGGACGATGCAATCGACGCAATCTCATTGTACCTCATTTTCGTCCGATTTCGAACCGCGCCAATTGGCCAGGAATTTCGGTGAATCCCGTATTCGGTCGCCTCGCGGATGATCGTCGTCGTTGAATCTTCATATAACCTTGACAATCGTTATCGCGTGTGAATGTTACAGATGGCGGTGGCTTTCATGTTGGCCCATCACTACGGGATCCCGAGGGTGATGAGCTCGTTCGATTTCAACGATTTCGACATGGGACCGCCCCAGGACGGCCAGCAGCACATCGTCTCTCCCGTGATTCGCGACAACATCTGCAGCAACGGCTGGGTCTGCGAGCACCGTTGGAGGCAGATTTACAACATGATTCGTTTCCGTAACGCTGTTAAAGGCACCGGCGTTAATAACTGGTGGGACAACGGCAGCAACCAGATCGCCTTCTGCCGAGGAAACGCCGGCTTCGTCGCGTTCAACGGCGATCAAGGCGACCTGAGGCAGACCCTGAGGAGCTGCATGCCCGCCGGCAGATACTGCGACGTGATTTCCGGTAACCTGGAGAACGGACGGTGCACCGGAAAAGTCGTCACCGTGCAGCCCGATGGCAACATGTACGTCGAGATCTTGAAGAACGAGGAGGACGGAGTGCTCGCCATCCACAGAAACGTGAGTGATCGTTCCCAAGCTGTGGTTGCACAATTTTCATTACAATTTTCCTAATTTTCCTTCACCTTGTAAATGAAAGTGGACAATTTTTGAAAGTGGAAGTAGAGATACGATTATTCGAGCTATTCACTTCGTTTTTATAATTGCTGACAATCGGCGACTATAATCGTATCTCCTCTTCCCAAGTTCGCCATTTTTGTTTACAAGCTCAAGAAAAATTGTGCAGAATTTACTGTGTTCCTAGATCCTTTATTGCACGTTTGCAATTATGTATTTTGTCCAGACATTTTATCGAAATGGTTACGACGTTTGTGAAATTTTGATAGGCAGCTGTTCGTACGAAAATGTTTATTACAATCTTTCCTGAACACCGTGATGAATATTATAATTTTCTTGCAGGCGAAACTGAATTAATGGAGGATAACAATGAGAAGTCATAACCTTGAACACAAACAGGGGATGCTTGAGGAATACACTCCATTGGTGAAATAACTTTAGGACAATGAGATATAACCGATATATTGAAATGAATTAATCGCCTCCGGAGAATTCTAAGTATTGTCACAAAACTCTAAACAAATTCTATGGAACGAGATGTGAATTGTTTTTAATTCGCGTGTGTAATTCCTCGTGGACTTTCCAAATAAATTCGAGGTATATGATGAACGATTTCTCTAGGTTTATCTTATCTGCATATATCGTGATAAAAATAGATCACAAGTATTTGAATCAATACCTTTCTCCATCTAAAATCTCTTCGCACACTTCTGTTATCCAAATCTAGATCATCGAGTCGGTCACACGTGTCGGTTACACATTCCTATCTCCTTATCTAAACTCGGTACTCACCTCTCACGTGCATCGACGAAATCCAACACGTTTTTTGGTAATAATCTCGCTTTGACACACATCTCGCCTAATCTACTCGCGCTTGACCGAAGGTATGATCGAAGCAACTATACAGAAACGACCATGATCTGCGTGCGAACGCGATGCTCTATACTTTTACCGACTTGGATTAAACGTGTCTTTCGGTGAAATAAAAGTGGACCGACTGGACATTGAACAGAACCAAAATTACCGATGACTATCGTATATTAGGAGATTTTCCGAAGTGTTGCACACTGTTCAGCCGTTCTCTCATCAGTCGGATTCAACGAAACTCCGCGGAACGCTTAGGGAATCATCTGTTTGTGAATAGAGCAGGTGATTGAACCCGAAGACCGGTTATTTTTCAACAAAGTTTATTTTAACAGAAACAATGTACTGTTTTTGTTTTCTTTTCACCATTAATTTCTACTATACATAATATGACAGATAATCGTAGAATAATACACGACAGACGCGCGATGGAGAAATAAAAAAAAGGGTTGTGTGTATGTGTGTGTGTGTGTGTTGTGTGCAGGAGGAATGGAAGGAGGGGAGGGGATCGATGGGTGAAAAAAAAATAAATGGATGGAAGAACATCGAAGTATCACAAGATTGCTTTATCGCCCGTTCTATTGTCCCTCCTCTTCTCCATTTCGTTCGTTTACACTCGTTTCTCCCACTGGCCCGAATCATTCACCTCGCCCCCCCCCCCTCCTCCCCCCAGCTAATACACGTGGAAGCAAAACGAATGATTCGAGCCGAGTTCTACAATATTCTTGGATCCCTTCAAATAATTCCACAGGATTTCTCTCGAACGCATTCCCTGCCATGTAAAGTATCTTCGTCTCTCTCTTTATCTTTCTCTATCACTCTTTTTCTCCTTCTCTCTCTCTCTGTTTGCTCGCTTTCATACACATGTACACACGCATTCCGCTCGTACTCTTGTCTTTCGCTCTTCGCTGTCTGTTTTTCGTTCTATCCGCGCGATCCTGCTGCCCGATAACGTAATGATCTCGTGCCACGCAGTAATGATGAAACCCCGGCTACGAAAACTAAATAAAATACTACGGGTCTTCTTGTAAAAGCACGATATAAATAAATGCTCAAGCATTATGTACAGTGATCTCGGTTTAAGTAGAAGCCGCTAGCTCGGTTAATGGCCGCGCGTCGCCGTCAAGTTTCATTCAGAATTGTCAGTGGAATTTCCGTATGTGTGTCTGTCTGTGTTTGTCTGTCTCTGCCTCTCTCTTTCTCTCTCTCTCTCTCCTCTCTCTTTCTCTTTCCTGCGAGAACGATACGATCGTTTTCTCTTTTAATGCGAACGAAACGAAAACAACAATAGCGACGGGAAAGAAGTATGAATTGCAGAAATCATCGTTGTGTCGAGCTTCTGTCGCGAAACGTGAACTTGCAAGCACGCGCAGCCGCGTAAGTGTGTAATGTGTACATAATATTTATAAACGTATATAGTCTGCAGTAAATTCAGGCTAATGTAAATCTAAAAATACTGCTCATTTTTTTACGAACTTACCAACTTTCGATCTTAACGCTGTCTCCAACCTAGGACGTCTGCGATATTCATTTACGTCTTAATTGTTATACGTGAATACAATAAGGCAACAGTTTACACCTAAATAAATAAACGTTAAACGTTGTAAGTAAGAGAAGAAAGAAGAAGAAGTTAATTTACAATTCTTCTAAGCTACATTACGGATCCGTCGCTCGTACATCTAGATCGTTTACTATCGTCTGCGACGCGTGCACCGCGCGCCATCGTTTCGCGTCACACGAGAACAAATACGACTCCCATCCCTCTTATTACGGGTTCGAATTTAACCTGATCGTTGTCTCGATCTTATCACGCACCAGACCACGCCTCGATATAATTTTTACTAGAATTTACTAGTAATTGTTTACCAGGAGCACGATCGAACTCGTCGATCTTTAATTACACTTAAACTTTTAATTCGAAGATTCGCAACCCTCGCGCGTCTTTGTCATTTTTTATTCGTCGCGATTCGAAAGTTATCGTTTCAAATTTTCCACAGATTTCTTTTTCTTTTAATTGAAACGAAAGGAATGAGCTAAGAAGAAGAAATCGAATTCGGGAAGAACGGAAGCCATATTTTTCGGCGGTGTCGCGAATCCAGAGCAGACCGTGCACGCGAGTTTATGAGTACGTTCATCATCGCACGAAATATGAATGTATATACGTGTGCGGAGTTGGCCCCGTTTCTGCACGTAGAACGCTAGCAAAAATATAATTTAGTATATTTATCATTATAATTCATTCATATAAAAACTTCGTTAAAATATATAAAAGAAACAACGATTTGAGCAAATACGTATCTCCTACCATAGTTAAAAGTACCGTGTCGAAACGTTCCTTTATTGCACATCAATTTTCGCTAATAAAGTGTTGTCTCTTTTTCATCTCTCTCTCTCTCTCTCTCTCTCTCTCTCTCTCTCTCACTCTCTCACTCTCTCACTTCGTTTCACGCAGTGATTTCACACGCTCATCCATCTCTGCACGCACGAACAACAATTATTTTACACATACCCTAGTACGTATAATATTATTTATTCTCCTCGTTCTTATCTTGATCGGTTCTGTTACTGTATGTCGTTGTTGGGCTCGCAGAACTACTCGAATTTGCCGGCATCGCAGGGATCAGGACCGTCCGTAACAACATAACACGGAGATTGGGAAATCAGGAGAGTTCCCCGTAGCTGTCCGACCTAGTCGATCATCGGCTACCAAACGGAGGTGTTCTCGCGGGTTCTCTCTCTTTTTTTCCCAATATCCATTAATCATCGATCCACAATTTCTCCCGGTCATTTTCAATCCGGTTCAGCCAATCGAAACTTAACGCGAAATCAAAATACGAAGCAACTGAATTATCGTACATTATTATTGTTATTATTATTGCAACACCTGAACCAATAACTGTCTCGGAGCAGCTGCTCCTTTTAGACTGCCGGAAACATAAATTGAAGATCCGAGCATGAACCGAAATCGTCGACGTGCAGCTATGCAAAGAGCAGCAGCGATACTTAAAATAATCGGATGCTTCGTAGAAAACTTTTCCAAGCGCGGCAAAAAAGAAATGTCCAGCTATTGTACAACGAAAATAGGAATTTGGACACGGTGCGCGGACGTATTCGAGTAATCCGCAGTTAATGGTCGCAGTAAGTTCGCCTCTCAGGTAAGAGGTGAGAATACACATATTCGCATCGCAGGAGTAATTTCCAGGAGCCGTACTGATCGGAAAAATTACGAAATCACCGGGTCGATCGAGTTTCGCTAAGAAAGGCCAGCCCTTGGAAGACTTTTTTGACGGATAGGCACTCGTTTCGTTGATCATCGAAATACTTTCTTCGTCTCGCGGAAAAAGAACGACGTAACAAATACACCACACGGCTACGTTATCTCTATCTCTAAACCGTCCGCTAATTTCTGGTCGTCGAACGCGGCAACATCGAGGATGTCCGAAATCTGAAAATAGAATTTTGGTCGGCCGATAATGTTCTCGGTCCACGAAATTCGAAATGGAAACGCGCGACCGAACGCGCTCCGAACGAACGTNTCACTCTCTCACTCTCTCACTTCGTTTCACGCAGTGATTTCACACGCTCATCCATCTCTGCACGCACGAACAACAATTATTTTACACATACCCTAGTACGTATAATATTATTTATTCTCCTCGTTCTTATCTTGATCGGTTCTGTTACTGTATGTCGTTGTTGGGCTCGCAGAACTACTCGAATTTGCCGGCATCGCAGGGATCAGGACCGTCCGTAACAACATAACACGGAGATTGGGAAATCAGGAGAGTTCCCCGTAGCTGTCCGACCTAGTCGATCATCGGCTACCAAACGGAGGTGTTCTCGCGGGTTCTCTCTCTTTTTTTCCCAATATCCATTAATCATCGATCCACAATTTCTCCCGGTCATTTTCAATCCGGTTCAGCCAATCGAAACTTAACGCGAAATCAAAATACGAAGCAACTGAATTATCGTACATTATTATTGTTATTATTATTGCAACACCTGAACCAATAACTGTCTCGGAGCAGCTGCTCCTTTTAGACTGCCGGAAACATAAATTGAAGATCCGAGCATGAACCGAAATCGTCGACGTGCAGCTATGCAAAGAGCAGCAGCGATACTTAAAATAATCGGATGCTTCGTAGAAAACTTTTCCAAGCGCGGCAAAAAAGAAATGTCCAGCTATTGTACAACGAAAATAGGAATTTGGACACGGTGCGCGGACGTATTCGAGTAATCCGCAGTTAATGGTCGCAGTAAGTTCGCCTCTCAGGTAAGAGGTGAGAATACACATATTCGCATCGCAGGAGTAATTTCCAGGAGCCGTACTGATCGGAAAAATTACGAAATCACCGGGTCGATCGAGTTTCGCTAAGAAAGGCCAGCCCTTGGAAGACTTTTTTGACGGATAGGCACTCGTTTCGTTGATCATCGAAATACTTTCTTCGTCTCGCGGAAAAAGAACGACGTAACAAATACACCACACGGCTACGTTATCTCTATCTCTAAACCGTCCGCTAATTTCTGGTCGTCGAACGCGGCAACATCGAGGATGTCCGAAATCTGAAAATAGAATTTTGGTCGGCCGATAATGTTCTCGGTCCACGAAATTCGAAATGGAAACGCGCGACCGAACGCGCTCCGAACGAACGTTCAACCAATTAATTCGTCCGTTGCACGGTGTCAGCTTCTTCGTGCCGATCGCGTGTCTATTTCTAATTCGAACCCGGATCATTCCGCGGGACCGTTGAACGCTTGTTAGTTACCCTCCGGTTCCTCCGCGGAAGAAAGGCCCGCCCGGCCGAGATCTAGAAGCCCGATCAGCGGTGCAGATTATGCGAGAACGGAGATCGGTCGATCTCGAACGATTCCCGAAGGGTCGTCCGCGAGCCGCGATCGAGCGAATCGGAGTAAAAATCTACATCGGGTAGCGAGCATCGTGTAGCCTTAGGCACCGGGTGTGCGCACGTCGGTATCCCCTGATCGTCTCTGGCTCCCTACGTCGGTCAATTACAAACTACTCGTGATATGTCTAGCCCCCGCGAGAGAGACGGGTCCCCTCTGTCGATCGTCCGGAGCATCCTCCGACCGAAGAAGAAGACGACTGTCTGGCGACAGCTTTCCCCCGAAAGGTGTCGCGGAGGCCGGAAAAACAGTCCATGGTGCAGGAACGATCCTCGTATCGCCAGGTACTCGATAGCAACTCGAAGGATCCCGTGCACCCCGAGGTGCCTCACTGGCGATACCGTTCGCCGATGAACGCACTTTTATAGTCTAAGTCGATGGAGAACAGGCGGAGCCTCCTGGACAACGGTCCGCGGACCTTGTCACTGTTTGATAGGCTTCTTGAAGACGACGTCCGGCTTGCGTATTGGACGCGGTACGCGCCGTTCTATCCTTAGGGCCCTGTTCGGGTCCGGCGAGGGCGCCGACGCGCCCTCCAGACCCACCGGAGCCTCCGCCATTGTTTGTCAGTTCCCCGTGCTACTCGGCCGTCTGCCGGGCATCTGTTGCTGCTGTTGTTGCTGCTGCTGCTGTTGCTGCTGTTGTTGCTGCTGTTGCTGCTGCTGCTGGTGCTGGTGCTGGGACGCCGCTGCAACAGCGGCCGCGGCGTTCAACGCCGGCAGAGGGGTCTGGTGACAGTGCGCGCAGTGCAAGCACACCGTGCACGCGCCCAGCTTTCGGGCCAGCAGCGCGCGCAGCTTCAGGGCCGGGCCCAGCTTCATCCCCATCGGGCCCGTCAGGTGGTCCTCGGACAGCAGGGGCAACGCGGCTCCGTCGATGCGGTGCTCGCGGAAGTTCTGGAAACAGAGGAGCTCTCGTTAGTCGAATGGATTTCACGGGGCCCTATCGTTTCTTGGTTTCGGTTTTGTTGGTTGTCGCGATGCGAATGCGATTCGTGCCCGTCGATAATCATCGAGCTGTTACGAGATTTTAATTGCAGATGATCTCGGGGACGCGTTTACGCAATTCTAATACGAATCGTTTTAAGCATTTGTCTCAATCCCTGCTTGAACAATTGTTTTCGAAATTGAACCGCAACTATAAATCTTTCTGATAATTTTGATAACCCTTTGCACTCGAGTGGCGAGTCTGAGGCACCGTTTAAACTTATTATATCGCGTTCTAAGAAGATTGTTGAGAACGTAATTGCTGTGCGAGTCACTTGGAGTCAATTTCACATGCATAAAATGCACTTTGTCATGCAAAATAGAAAGACCATAAGTCGGAAAAATTATTTTAGATTTACAGTTAAAATAGCTTCGAGTGCAAAGGGTTGATTCTTGTCGAGAGTTCCGTCGTGATTCATATCTTTTGCATAAGCGTTAGCCAGATTGTTATTACGTTTATGTAACACGAACCAGATCTTGTAGAAACATTCGTGCGATTCTGTATTCTGTAAAAATTTGATTCATCCTCGGCAGAATCGCGTCGGCCGGAATACGTTCGCGACGTTATCGATGCAAGCTCCTACGTAATCAGCGCATCGTCGTTTATAAATTGTTAAGAACGCGAACAAGCAGCAACCGCGGAACGAAGGCCCCTAAACGGTTAAGAATTCGGCTCGCCAGCAACGTTTCAATAACGCCCGGCCGAAGGTAGCCCGAAGGGTAACCCGAACGTTTCCTCAATTAAGCCTGTTCACCGCGCCCAGGCTGCTCCTCATTCAACGAGCCCGAAGAATGACACCCACGCGTCCCGGCCGGCTGCATTAACAATCCTGCCATACCTGAATACCTTCCGGCGACCCTTAACCCGGTGGAAACGAGCTCGAAGGTCGAGTCGTTCGCGAGACGTTGCTCGAGGATGCGAGGATGCGTCGAGCGCATCGCGCGCATCATCCCGCGGCGCGCAGCGCGCGGTTGCGGCCGGTCGAGGACGGTTGCGTCGCGAAGCGCAACAAGGTGCATCTTCAACGACGCGGAACGCTCGCTCATTAAACCTCCGTTCCGCAGAAAGTCGGTGGAGCTGCTCGGATGGAATCAGACTGCGGGGACCGCGGGGAAGAGGAAACGGAGGCGTTCCATGGATCGCGGACGATGCGCCGGTGCGAGGGCTGGAAGGGGAGAAAGAAGAAGGCTCGGGAGAAGCGCAAGAAGCAGAAGCAGAAGAAGAAGAGGGAGGAGAAGAAGAAGAAGANCATCTGTTGCTGCTGTTGTTGCTGCTGCTGCTGTTGCTGCTGTTGTTGCTGCTGTTGCTGCTGCTGCTGGTGCTGGTGCTGGGACGCCGCTGCAACAGCGGCCGCGGCGTTCAACGCCGGCAGAGGGGTCTGGTGACAGTGCGCGCAGTGCAAGCACACCGTGCACGCGCCCAGCTTTCGGGCCAGCAGCGCGCGCAGCTTCAGGGCCGGGCCCAGCTTCATCCCCATCGGGCCCGTCAGGTGGTCCTCGGACAGCAGGGGCAACGCGGCTCCGTCGATGCGGTGCTCGCGGAAGTTCTGGAAACAGAGGAGCTCTCGTTAGTCGAATGGATTTCACGGGGCCCTATCGTTTCTTGGTTTCGGTTTTGTTGGTTGTCGCGATGCGAATGCGATTCGTGCCCGTCGATAATCATCGAGCTGTTACGAGATTTTAATTGCAGATGATCTCGGGGACGCGTTTACGCAATTCTAATACGAATCGTTTTAAGCATTTGTCTCAATCCCTGCTTGAACAATTGTTTTCGAAATTGAACCGCAACTATAAATCTTTCTGATAATTTTGATAACCCTTTGCACTCGAGTGGCGAGTCTGAGGCACCGTTTAAACTTATTATATCGCGTTCTAAGAAGATTGTTGAGAACGTAATTGCTGTGCGAGTCACTTGGAGTCAATTTCACATGCATAAAATGCACTTTGTCATGCAAAATAGAAAGACCATAAGTCGGAAAAATTATTTTAGATTTACAGTTAAAATAGCTTCGAGTGCAAAGGGTTGATTCTTGTCGAGAGTTCCGTCGTGATTCATATCTTTTGCATAAGCGTTAGCCAGATTGTTATTACGTTTATGTAACACGAACCAGATCTTGTAGAAACATTCGTGCGATTCTGTATTCTGTAAAAATTTGATTCATCCTCGGCAGAATCGCGTCGGCCGGAATACGTTCGCGACGTTATCGATGCAAGCTCCTACGTAATCAGCGCATCGTCGTTTATAAATTGTTAAGAACGCGAACAAGCAGCAACCGCGGAACGAAGGCCCCTAAACGGTTAAGAATTCGGCTCGCCAGCAACGTTTCAATAACGCCCGGCCGAAGGTAGCCCGAAGGGTAACCCGAACGTTTCCTCAATTAAGCCTGTTCACCGCGCCCAGGCTGCTCCTCATTCAACGAGCCCGAAGAATGACACCCACGCGTCCCGGCCGGCTGCATTAACAATCCTGCCATACCTGAATACCTTCCGGCGACCCTTAACCCGGTGGAAACGAGCTCGAAGGTCGAGTCGTTCGCGAGACGTTGCTCGAGGATGCGAGGATGCGTCGAGCGCATCGCGCGCATCATCCCGCGGCGCGCAGCGCGCGGTTGCGGCCGGTCGAGGACGGTTGCGTCGCGAAGCGCAACAAGGTGCATCTTCAACGACGCGGAACGCTCGCTCATTAAACCTCCGTTCCGCAGAAAGTCGGTGGAGCTGCTCGGATGGAATCAGACTGCGGGGACCGCGGGGAAGAGGAAACGGAGGCGTTCCATGGATCGCGGACGATGCGCCGGTGCGAGGGCTGGAAGGGGAGAAAGAAGAAGGCTCGGGAGAAGCGCAAGAAGCAGAAGCAGAAGAAGAAGAGGGAGGAGAAGAAGAAGAAGAAGAAGAGGAGGAGAAGCAGAAGCGGAAGAGGAAAAGGGAAAAAAAGGACGGACGATTCATTCACGGCATCGGGGGCCGCGGACGTAATTGCGGCTGCAACCGCTGCAACTTACCCCCGCTGCATTGCACGCGGCCACTCACACCACGGACACGTACTCGTACTCTACTACGTATCGTCTCTTCGCGGTGCACACGTTCGCGGAATACGGTGATTGCTCAGCCCGCTTATGAATGAAATATTCAACGCTCTAATGCGACTGTTGCACGCAAAGCCAGACCGGTCTTCCTCGGGCATTCCTCCGCTCGGGGGGGAAGAGACGCGTTTGAAGATCAGGATCGGGATTAATCGAGGTCGCGCGCAACGAGACCTTGGAATTCACGGCGCCGCCCGGAATGGGAGCACCGGATCTTCGGATCTCGCGATTTCAAAAAATCGCTTTCACGAACGGAAAATAGTTGCTCGAACGCGCCGTTCGGAGATTCGAGTTTTCTCGACTTTTTCAAAGGGAGCGAGAGAGATTTTTATGCGCTCATTTCTTGCGCGCGCCGTTTCGCAGACAATTTTGCGAATCTTTTTTCACGGTGAGATAATTTTCGATGCAAGGGGAAGATGTCTTTTTTTAGCTGTTGAAGTTGTTTTTTGCCAACTACACGGATAATTCTAAATACTCGTACTATTCAGATTTTCTGCAGCACTCTGCATTAGTATGGAAAATGCATGGCATGACTCGATGAATATCCACGAGGCTTGCAATTATGAAAAACGGTATCTTTATTGCCACGTTATAATTGGGCTGCAGTATTTTGCTAAAGAGAAAAAAAGGTGCAATTAAATTTGCAAATGCATCGATGCATTTCTGCGAAGAAACGAGCTGCTCGGCGATGCTGCTTGATAAACCGCTCGAAGTTGCTGTGTCAAATTTTCTATTACATTCTTCCTGCATCTACGTTATTTGTTCTACCAGATTCATGCATTTCGTTTGAAATGATTAGCAGCCAAAATTAAACGATTGCTCAACTGTCTTTAATAAATAAATATTTCTAGTAGACTTATTAATAAATTCGGTAACAATTTGTCCTTCCCATAGATCAGCTCGATAATTTAATTTGCAACTTACATCGATACATTTCATAAAACAATGAACGTACAATAAAATAAAATACACGATGAAAAAATACGATAAAATTCGTGAAAAATTAAAGAAAACTGCGCCTCGCGCAGTGACCGATATTCCTCGGTTCTAAGATTTCGCGACACAGCGCAACCTGCATGAACCGCTTCGGATTCGCCTAAATATCCGGCAGCGATCTCTTAGGCCGTGGCCGCCGCGATAGTCGAACACGGCTTGGCCCGTTGTGTTTAGCGCGATTCGCGGCCGTGGATCATTAAACGCGAGTATGCGGGCCAATTGCTCGAAACGGGCCCCGGTGCGTTCGCTTCTAATAACGGTCCGGCAGCCTTCTTCCGCGGCGCGGCGCGGCGTCTCTCCTTCCAGCCGGAGTAACGACTTAGTTAATTAGCGTTTACGCGAAACGACCGTGAAGAGCACGCCGCACCGCGTCGACAGAGTTCCGCCGTTCTACGAGCGGTTTCCATCGCCGTCACTGACCGTTTATACCGTTACAGTCTCTCTGTACGCTATCGGAAATTCGACACAATGTCGGCCGTGTACCCAGCTGATAGATGGCCAACCGCGTGTTTCCACCCCCGCCTCCTCCGCCTCCTCTGTCCAGTCGTTTTCGTTGTCTCCTCGTCGAGGACGACGCTCGTTTAACACCGGTGTCAGCCGGTTCCCGCCGTATCGTCGCCGTCGCCATAAGGGTGAATGGGATAATTAGCCGGCCGCGTCGGCGAAACTGGCCGGTTCGCGCGAGTAAACGCTATCTAAAGCGAGACGCACTAATTTGTCGGAGTTCCTCCGTTTCCTTCCCAATTTTTAATATTCGCGTCTGCGACTCCAGAAAATATCGCTTCTGCGATATTTAGCGTTTAATAGTCGAGCCAGCGAGCGCGATGCGCGACTGACGTGCACACGTCGCTTTAAAACAACGACTGGACTGCGATTTTTATGCATTGGCGGCACGGATAGATGGGTGACGGAAAGATGCACTTGGGTTTTGGTTCTTGCAGTTGATGCAGACAAATTTTATTTAGCACACAGATCCACGGTTGAACAATGACTTACGATTACTGGCATTTTTATTGCAACGTGTTGATCGATAAATGATTTCTGGAAAAGTTGCGTGTCCTGCTTGCGAACGATATAAATCGTCTTATTTGGATCCTGTCTCATTTTAATATTATTCTTCATTTTTCCTTCCTGATATCGATTCTTTCCATTGCGTTAATTTAACGCAATTCAATCAATGAATAAATTCGGTCGGAGAGACAAAGAATGGGCGAAGACGAATTCCTTCGACGTCGCGTAGGAATTATTTCTGCGCATCCTCTGCTCTCGCCGATATTATAAAAGCTCGAAAATACCTATCGTATCCTAAAAACTGTAATTTCGTGTCGAGTATACAGCATCCTCTATTTTTCCAGAATATTATCGGCGCGCAGAGTGCTTTTCATGTAGCGCAGAATAAAAGCACCGCGAGCCGGAGGTTGTAATTTCGCGAAGTTCCGATGTACGAAGATCCCGGGAACGATCGAGACGGAGGTTTTAATGCGTGGTCATCAGAGGGCCGTGGAAAAATCCGTTTCCAGGAGCAAGATTTTGCTCTAAATACATTTTAATGAAATAGACCACGGTTCCCTCGCACACGCTGATTGCGGGCCGACAATTTCCACGCGAGGCTCCAGCTGGCAAAAACCGGCCGGTTCGATCAACGAGGGGACATCCTGCACTGTAATTTCGTGCTACTTGTTACCGCCACGGCTTACAAGCATAATTGATACCCAGATTTCAGGTCAGTAATTCATAATAATCAGCTAAGAGATCGCGAGCAGAGGCTGCTGCCTTCCGTTGCGTTGCAACGCGACGCACTGCTCTATTCCGAACGGCAATTTAATATAATAAAAGAACGCCTTTTTCTTGTAGCTCTCGGCCGCGCGCACCTTGATCGTTCCACCGCGAACCCGAGAGCCCGCTGCGGAGAGGTGCACGAGATCAAAGGGACAAGCAAGTAGCCGGGACGCGGTCGAACAATTAAAATTAAATTTAGCAATGTTTTTACGGCGGTCCTCGAGGCATGAAGATTTTTAAGAGATCAACTGCGGGTTCTGTTCGACTGCACTCGTTGCAGAGAAAGAAGTGCATCATCTCGGGCACAGATCCACGTTGTAATTACGCGAAACGCGGACCAAACATTCGTTTCGGGCCCTCGAGTGATCGTTAGTGCTTAATGTTGCGATAACGAAAATTCAGAACGGCGATCAACTCGCTCTTTCGACGACTCTTTTCGAGTCCTTCCATTTCCCTCGGAATTACCTCTGACAGCACGAATCCGTGAATCCTCGATCATTTAAATCTGTCGAATCTTTCGATCTTCGAGCCTTTGATCCTCTGAATCAGCGAATGTTTGAATTATTGCTCCATCGGTTGATAAAGATATATTAACGTAGAGAAATTTTGGATAAAAATTGGCCAACTTCGACCGATGATAACTCCGCGAAAAATCATCGTAGGATAATGACTATTTTTTTAAATTAAAGCTT